ATAATGAATTTTTAAATGGAAATAATAATGTAACAATAAAGAATGATATTGATAACAATGAAGGAAGAGATTCTCCTATTGTTGATGTTATTAATAATATTAAAGGTATTTTATTAGGTATATTATTTTATTTTTACAACTTTCCGGAAAGAAAATAAATAAAATTGCAACTTTCCGGAAAGAAATTAATTACTTTTACAACTTTCCGGAAAGAAAATAAAATAGTTTTACAATTTTCCGGAAGGAAAATAGATAAATACAATTTTTCCGGAAAGAATTTTACAACTTTCCGGAAAGAGAATATAAATTATTCTACAATTTTCCGGAAACAAATAAATAATTTTACAATTTTCCGGAAAGAAAATAAATATATTTTACAACTTTCCGGAAGGATAATAAATAAAATTGCAATTTCCGGAAAAAAATAAATAATATTACAATTTTCCGGAAGGAAAATAAAATAGTTTTACAACTTTCCGGAAAGAGAACAATTAAATTATAATTTTCCGGAAAGAATAAATAATTTTACAATTTTCCGGAAAGAAAATAAATATATTTTACAACTTTCCGGAAGGATAATAAATAAAATTGCAATTTCCGGAAAAAAATAAATAATATTACAATTTTCCGGAAGGAAAATAAAATAGTTTTACAACTTTCCGGAAAGAGAACAATTAAATTATAATTTTCCGGAAAGAATAAATAATTTTACAATTTTCCGAAAAGAAAATAAATAATCTTACAACTTTCCGGAAAGCAAAATAAATAAAATCACAATTTTCCGGAAAGAAAATTTCCGGAAGAAAAAATTATTTTTACAACTTTCCGGAAACAAAATAAATAATTTCACAATTTTCCGGAAAGAAAACAAATATGTAAAATTTACAACTTTCCGGAAGGAAAATAAATAAAATTACAATTTTCCGGAACTTAATTAAAATAATTTTTAAGATGATGAAGACAATACTCTAAATAAGCAATTAATTTGCGAATTAAATCTACTCAAAAATAATAATCCGGAAATGATATTAAAAAAAGAAGAAAATACAAATAATTTATTTGTTCAACAAAACACACCAAAATATTTATTTAATCGACAACACAGTCCAAAACAATTAAATCAGAATATTTTACAACATTCTTTTCAGACCTTGTCTAATAATAATTTAATTTCTGAGGGATTATTGACACCAAAATTAATGAATAACAATTTTGGACATTATCCAATCTCCACTGCTTCTCCAAATATATTTTTGGGAAATAATGGGAATAATAATGAAAAGGGGAATAATTTGTGCAATACGCCTGATTATTGTAAGAAATTCTGATTTTTTTTTAAAACTTGAAAATTCTGATTTTTTCCGGAAACAAATTTTGATTAGATCTTTCCGGAAAAGTTCTGAACTAAGTTTTCCGACCTCAAGTTTTTCCGGAAAAAATGTTTTCCGGAAAAAAAGTTTTTCTGAAACAAGGTTTTCCGGACCTGTTTTGCGAGAGAATATTTTTTATTTAGAAACTTTCCGGAAAGAAATTGATTTAAGACCTTCCGGAAAGTTTATTAAAAATAATTCCGACTATAATAATTCTGATTATATATTTTATACAAGTTTTTCCGGAAAAGTTCTGAAGTAAGTTTTCCGGTCTCAAGTTTTTCCGGAAAAGTTTTTCTGAAACAAGGTTTTACGGAAACAAGTTTTTGCGAAGGAATATTCTTTAAATAAAAACTTTCCGGAAAGAAATTAATTTAAAATCTTTCCGGAAAATTTATTAAAATAATTCTGACTATAATAATTCTGATTTTATAGTTAATTTGGGTTCACCAATGTTGTCTGCTGTTCTTTTTTCTGCTGCTGCTACAATGATTAGAAACAATCATCAAGCAACCCAAAATCAAGTTCAACAGCAAAATCAAAATGATTTCCAAGAAACTATGAATAATAATTTTGTTAATAATAACAACAATTATTTAGCAACACCAAATATTCCCGTTCAAAATAATTTATTTAAAAGAAAGGGAGCAATTGTAAATGGAATTCTTCAAAAGTGAGAAACTTTTTTTAATAAATCAGAAAATATTTATTTCTTTACAATTTGAATTAAAAAACTTTTTACAAATTGTAGTTTTGTTTTTACAATTTTTTTACAAAACTTTTTACAATTTGTAATTTTAATATAACTTGAAGTAAAACCTTTTACAATTTGTAATTCTCCTTTAAAACATGAAATTAAAACTTTTTTACAAATTGTAATTTTATTTTGACAATTTGTAATTTTCCTTTAAAACAAAAAATTAAACTTTTTACAAATTGTAAAATAATTTTTAGGCTTTCAAATAAAGCTACAGCTGAAGCACACAACAACAACAACAACAACAACAATACCTCTCCCATTACTTCTCAACCACAAAAAACGCCTTTAGAGATTAATAATGATTTGGAAAAAAATAATAAAAATAAAATTATAAAACAAGAATTAAAAACAACAAAAAGGTCTTTGGTAAATGTTCAAACACAGACAGATATTAGTGGAGTAATTGAAATGAAGGAATATATTCATGAAGGTAAAAGGATTAAAGTTATTTTAATTGAACAAGAACTTTAAAAAATATGTATACAATTATTTTATTTAATTGAGCATTTGTGATTCAACAAGATTAAAAAATATTATTTAAATATTATATTTATTTTTTACTTACCTCTTTTTATTTTTTTTTAAATTACTAGAATAGAGCCTATCTGGAGAATTTGTAATTTAAGATTAAACTTGAAAATAAACTTTTTTTTACAATTTGTAATTTTTAGTTTAGAACCTGAACAATTGTAATTACAAATTGTAATTTTAAGATTAAGCTTGAAAATAGAACTTTTTACAATTTGTAATTTTTATTGAGGATTCAAATAAACTTTTTTTACAATTTGTAATATTAGTTTAAACTTGAATTAAAACATTTTAAAATTGTAATTTTAGTTTAAATTCGAAATAGAACTTTTTACAATTTGTAATTCAAGATTAAACTTGATAATAAACTTTTTACAATTTGTAATTTAGGAGTAAACTTGAAAATAAAACTTTTTACAAATTGTAAAAATAAATAACCTTAAAAATATAAAACCTAGACAGGCTCTATTTTAGTTACATATAACTATTATACTTTCTTTGACTTCTTGCCAGATTAAATTTTTTGTCTTTATAAAATATCATAATATTTTTCAAATCTCCACATTTTATTTGTTGGCAATTATATCACTTTTAAGTGCAATTATATATTAAAAAAATTTTTTTTCAATTTATAAGTTCAGCATTCCTTGCCTATGCGCGTGCCCTTAAGTTTGTAATTAAATTTCACTTCAATTTTATTTATTTTTAATGATGCAAGAATATTTATTCAAAATTTATTTTATTATTTTCTTATCATTTTGTATCAAAATCACTTCCTCTAAAAAAAGACATTTATGGCTGCTATCTACTGCTTTTACACATATACTACAATATTTTTAAATAAAGTTGTATTTTATTTCTGAATAAATTTTTGGTTGGAGTTTTGAATTTAAATAAACTTTTTACAATTTGTAATTTAAGTTTAAAACTTGAATTAAAACTTTTTTACAGTTTGTAATATTTAAATAAACTTTTTTTTTACAATTTTTAAAACTTTTTGGTAAAACTTTTTACAATTTGTAATTTTTAGTTTAAAACTTGAAATAAAACTTTTTTACAATTGTTATTAAATTCTACAATTTGTAATTTATTTTACAATTTGTAACCTTTTTGTTAGTTAAAAAATAAAACTTTTTACAATTTGTAATTTTCTTCCTAGACCTTTAAATAAACTTGAAAGCTGAGAAACATGCTTATTTTATTCAAATAACCATAACGATTTAATATAAATGCTTATAAAGAGTGAGGATGAGAGGTTCAACGTTTTGTTTTAATCTGTGTTTCCAACAAATAATCTTCTGTATAATTGGCATTGACAGGTTATCGGTACACGGATTACTCCATCAACAAAATCCCCCACATCGCCTTCCATTCGAATTCCGGCAGGGCGAAGTTCGTAAACTGTTACACATTTTGAAGAGTAACTGTAAAAAATAAACGAATTTTTAAGTTGTAGTTTTTAAGTTCTATTTTTAGGTTTATTTTTTAAGTTTTATTTTTAAGTTTGCAGTTCTTAAGCTTGTAATTTTTAAGTTTTGTATTTTCAAGTTTTATTTTCAAGCTTGTAGTCTTAAGTTTGTATTTTCAGGTTGCACTTGTTTTCAAGTTTTATTTTTAAGTCTTATTTTCAAGTTTGTGGTTCTTAAGTTTATGATTTTAAGTTTGAATTTTCAAGTTTGCAATTTTAAGTTTTGCATTTCTGAGTTTAATTTTCCGGCTGAGTTTTTAAGTTTGTAGTTTTTAAGCTTGTATTTTCAAGTTTTATTTCCCAGTTGCATTCTCAAGTTTGTATTTTCAGGTTGCACTTATTTTCAAGTTTTATTTTTAAGTTGTATTTTCAAGTTACATTTCCCACTATTCCCATTTCCGGAATTGTTATTAGGTAATTACAATTTGTAATTTTTATTAATAAATTAGCGTTGTGCTTTCCCTATTATTTTTCATTGTGTTTTCCGTTTTTACATTTGTTTTTATATTATAGTATCATTTTATTTTCGTTGTAGTCTTGTAGTTTATCTATTTTTGTCTTATTTTCTTGCCATTTTCTTAATTTTTTCCCCTGCTCTTTTTTAACCCCCAAAAATGGAAATATGTACATATATAAAATGCTTAATGAGGAAGGTGATGATGCGCTTAATTTTCTTTTTTGTTAATAATTTATTTTCGATTAAAATTAATTCCCTATAGAGAACAAAGCACTCTCTGTACCAGAGAACATTTTTAGCAATTTTGTCAATTAAAACATAATTTTTTTGTTATTTATTGCAATTTTTCTTTTTGCGATTTTTTAGTAAAAAATATTATTTTTGGATAGGTTAAGGATTATTAAGAAAAAATAAAATTTACATTAAATCATCAATTCCATGGCATTGATCTCCTTTAGAATTAGAACACTCAATAAAAGTAGCAATAAATTGACGTCTCCCATCTTGTTGGATTTCTACAGGATTGTTGTCTTTATCTTTAAAAATGGAATAAAAATGGATAAAACATCAAGTAAACTATGAAACTTTCCGGAAAATATAAAAATTATTAATTGGGTAAGCATCTAATAAAATTCCGGAAATGGTTAAAACTTTATTTAAAACATCAAGTAAACTTTCCGGAATGCTTTAAAAAAATATTAGACATGACGTTAAATAAAACATCAAGCTTTCCGGAAACTATACAAAATAAAATTCCGGAAAACATTAAAACATTAAATAGAATATGAGGTTTTCCGGAAAACAGAATAAAATTGAAAAACATTGAAATTTAATGTTTCCGGAAAAACATTAAACAAACAAAACATCAAGTAAACTTTCCGAAAACTATACAAAATAAAGTTCAGAAAATATTAGACATTGCAACTTTAATTAAAACATCAAATATTCTTTCCGGAAAAACATTTGTTTTTCAAAAACATTTATTGTTGTTTTTCCGGAAAAACATTTGTTGTAAACATTTGTTTTATAAAAACAAAAAATCAAAACAAACCATGTCCTCGTTTTGGAGCATAGTCCCTTCTAATAATTGTTGTACAAACATGCTCATGTTCGGATAAATGTTCAGAAATGATAGATGTTCGTTTTTGTTTATTAGCAAAGGAATGTTGTTCTAAATCATTTATAAGATGTTTTCCTTCTTCAATTTCTTCCTTCTCCTTGTCTACAAATGGAAGATTTAGGGAAGAAAAAAATTTTTGTTGGGCATTCCAGTGGTGTTTTAAAGGATTTATTTTTTGGTTAATTTTGCTGAAATAATGAGGGTTATAATTTAAGTGTTGTCGAACAGGTAGAGTTGAGTACCTTGCCAGAACTGAAGAAGATATGAGATTTTTGGGGTATTAAAATTATGGCAAACCAAAATAAGAGGAAACTGCTTGTAAACACCCACAAAACAAAATTATTTGTAACAAAGAAAATAATGTGGAGGAAATAGTTAAACGAGAAAAACATGGAAATTGTAATGATTTTTGCTGTTTTCGTAGTTGTAGCATTTTTATTTTAGTTGTAGAAGTGTTTGTAGGGAAAACAAAACAATTGCAACATGAAGAGGGTGTTGTTAATGATGTTTTAGTTACCATAAAGGTTTCTAATAAAGTTCGAAAAGAAAACACCTCTAAAACAATAAATATAAACTTTCCGGAAATTAAAAGAAAAATATAAGTTTTCCGGAAAAATTATAAATATACTTTCCGGAAATTAAAATTATAAATATACTTTCCGGAAATTAAAATTATAAATATACTTTCCGGAAATTAAAATTATAAATATACTTTCCGGAAATTAAAATTATAAATATACTTTCCGGAAATTAAAATTATAAATATACTTTCCGGAAATTAAAATTATAAATATACTTTCCGGAAATTAAAAATAATTTCCGGAAATTTATATACTAATTATAAATTTTCCGGAAAAATATAATAGAAAATATAAACTTTCCGGAATTATAAAAATTAGTATTTAAGTTCCGGAAAAATATAATAGAAAATATAAGCCTTCCGGAAAAATACAATAGAAAATATAAACTTTCCGGAAATTATAATAACGGAAATTTATATACTAATTATAAACTTTCCGGAAAAATAAAATAATAAATAAAAGTTTTCCGGAATAGAATAGTTTTATGCTAAACGGAAAAACAACTATTTCAGGAAAACATCATGTAAAATTTCCGGAAAACTCGTTTCCTGTTTAAATATTCTCTTAAAGCCTTAATTTTTGTAAAAAATATGTACAAATAAATGTTAATTAATTGAGTAAAATTATTTTATTAATACAATGTGCGGCTATCGTTGGCATTTCCTTTTACATAGCCTTCTGCCACAATAAAATTTAAAATTCTATTAAGCCACGCCCATTTATATCCCTCTCACTCAAGAATGAGAGAATTTTGACACTAGAGTCTGAGAAAATTTTTTTTCAATATTTTTTATAAATTTTAACCACCTGTTTACTATAAACTATTTAATATCGAAATTAATAATTAATTTCGTCAAAAGATAGAAAAAATAATGCACCCTTTTTACTTGATTTTACTGGCCGTGTTTGCGTGGGTGTCCAACTTTGTAAGAATCCAAAAATATTTTTAAATATGTGTATAAATAACTTCCGGAAATTATTATATAAATAAATTATACTTTCCGGAAAATATAAAATAAATAGGCAAACTTTCCGGAAAAATATAAAATGCTTCTTCTAAAATTAAGCTTTTTCCGGAAAACATTAATGTATACTTTCCGGAAATAATTTCTCATAAACTTTCCGGAAAAATATTAGTGAATATATTTATTATTTTTCCGGAAAATTATATATTCTTTTATTATATTTCCGGAAAAATATAATAAAATAAAATTAAGAGGGAAACATTCCGGAAAACACAAATAAATTCTTCAACATTTGATTTTCCGGAAAATATTATAAATACTATACCGGAAAAACTTATTAAAAAATTTTATAAACAAAATATTAATTATTAACCTTAAACTAAAACATATTTAACCTTTAGATAAAATTTAATAAATAAATTAATAATTGTTTTATTTTTCAAATGCCATTAAAAAAATTATTAAAAAAATATTTTAACTAAAATTAATTTTTTTAATTTTAAAGAGATTTTAAGAGATTTATAAAAATGCTAGAATAAATTAGCATTTTTATATATAGACAGGAAGTTTAAATTTTAAAAATAAATAAATTTATTATTTAAAATTCTATATTCAGTAACTAAAATGAGACGTTGGAATATTAAAACATAAGGTGGAATTTGTATTTGAAGTATAACTATAAATATAACTCAATAAAACTTTCCGGAAATAAACCTAGAAATGAATATATTATAAACTTTCCGGAAAAATAATAAAAATAAAAGTTAGGGGCAAACTTTCCGGAAAATCTAATTTCCTGAATTATTTTTATTAAATAGTACACATATTCTTTCCGGAAAATACAGTAAATAGACTCTAATAAAATTAAACTTTCCGGAAATATATTTTATTAACTATTATTTTCTTTCCGGAAAAATGAAATAAATTATCTAGAATAAATTAAACTTTCCGGAAATAAACTTAAAAATAATATAAACGTTCCGGAAATACTATAAAATAATATAAACCTTCCGGAAATCTTATAAAATAAAATTAAAAGGGAAACATTCCGGAAAAAATAAAATAAATTAACACCCCTATAATTAAACATTCCGGAAGTATTTTTTATTAGGCTATTATTAAATGTTACACTTTTACCCCATTATTTATTTTGCATATTCCAAAATAGAACAAAAATAAATATTATTTGTAAAAACAAATCAAAACATCTGTTTTTAATTTGTACTATTTTTTATAAAGATAATTATTTTTAAAATGTCATTTAATTAAAATATTCTGACAAAAATAAATAATTTTGTAAAATTTATTTAATAAAGTTCAAATGGCGTAATATTAAATAAAATGTATCTACAGGTGGAAAAAAATGTTTTTAATTTTACCGAAAAACATTCTTTATCTGAATATGTACTATTAAATAGACCTTCCGGAATGTTTAATTATTTGTGTTTATTATATAGTTTTTATATTTCCGGAAAGTTTTTATATTTTACACGATTTAATTGATTATTCAATCTTTCCGGAAAAATTAAAACTTTCCGGAAAATAGTTTCTTCTATAAAAGAAATTTTCCGGAATGTTTATAATTTGTTATTTTCCGGAAAAATATAAACCTTCCGGAAATTTTATATTCATGTATTTCTATTAATCATTACAACTTTCCGGAAAACATAGTTTATTTCTATCGCTATAAAATAGTTTCCGGAATATTTAATTGTTCGTTTTTATTTATACCTGCAAACTTTAATACTTTCCGGAAGGCGTATATGCATATATTTTTATTAATAAATTTAATTATTCTACTTTTCCGGAAATAAACCATTATCATTTTTAGACCAATTAATAAAGTTTAAATATTTTCCATTTTTAACTTCCTCTTTTTCTCTTCACCTTTCTTTTATTAATTTACATAAAATTTAAATAAATTAAATTTAAATAAAAAATTAATTCTTTTAAGCACATCATTCATTTCCAATTTATTAAACAACTCCCAAAAGGATTGGTATAAAAGTAAAAATTAAAATATATACGTAATTAAGGAAATATTTTTATGAGTCAAGAAGGGTGTGTGAGAAGCAAGGGAATGAACGGGATATTTATTTAGCTTAATTATTTCTTTTCTCTTTTTGTTTTTATTTATTAAATAAATTGTTGAATAATTAAATTTATATATTAAACACAATTAATTTATTCACGCAAAAAAAATGTTGAAATTAAATATTTTTTACTAAAAAAAGAAAAAAAAATTTTACAAAAAAAGGTAATTTGATAAAATATATAAATGGACTGTAAAAAAGATGGAAATGAGGGGAATAGCAAAATTACCCCATTTTGTAAAAATAAAAAAACCAAAAAAAAAGTAGCAACAAGCTTTAACACTAAAGGGAATGATTGGAGGTTTCAAAAAAATTTTGCGGACAAAAAAAAGTTTGCGGACAGATATTTGCGGACTTTTTTTTTCAAACTTAAACAAAGTCACTAAAATCCAACAAAGTCACTAAAATCCAAAAATAACCTCTAACCTCCAGGAATAAACGAAGAAACGAAAAAAGGGTCCTAAATAATATGATCACCCAAAAATTAAAAATCAAAACAACAAAACATCACCAAACATCTTTTGGGGTATTTTTAAATATTGACAAATTAGAGGCCAAGAATCTATTCCAAAAAATTCTTTTCTTGAATTTAAATCGTTTTCAAAATGAAGAACAGTCCAAGGGATGCCGAAACACTTTAAAAAATTAATTTTTAAATTTAAAAATTAATTTTCAAGAAACCTTTGCCTCCACAGCCTCTCTATGGTTTTCGTTTAGTCTATTACACCATTCATCATTTGAGAATGAATTCTCGTTCAAACCGAAATCCAAACAAATCTGGGAAGAATTAAGAGCCTGAAAATGAAATTTTTTAAGTCCGCAAAAAATTTGCGGACAATCCGCAAACTATGTCCGCAAAAATTTTTTGTCCGCAAATTTTTTAAAAATAATTTTAAAAATTAAAAAACCTCTTCCAAATCCTTTTCTGAATTTAACGCTTTGTTTTCAACCCAAATTCTTTGCCAAAATTGTCTTGAAATTTTTTGAAATGCAGAAAATCCGAATTTTGAGGCAACCATGTTCAATGCACATTGGGGGTGGAAAGAGCTGGAAATGCCGTCCAATAGATTGTCTATTGTTTCCTATAAAATTAAATGAAAATTTTAGATGAAAATTGATGTAGAGATGTTAGGTTATGAAAAAGTCCGCAAATCTTGTCCGCAAAAAATTTTTAATCCGCAAAAAAATTTTTTGTCCGCAAATATTTTGCGGACAAATATTTTGTCCGCAAATTTAAATTTGAGAAAAAATGAACAAAACTAACGGGATCAGTCCTAATATTTAATCCATGTAGTCGTGCAAACAATCTTTGCTCTTCAAAATAATTCTTTTTTAAATTTGGAGTGGTATAGGGAACTTGAACGCCTTTAAAAATTTAAAAAAAATTAAATTAAAAAAATACCAATTGTTGTAAACAAACTTCCAGCATGTACAGGGCGAAAATTAAAATTAATTTCGTTGTGAGTTGCTTTCAAAATTGAAAATCTCTGAAAATAAATTGAATTTAAAAATTTTATCATAAGAAACCTCAAACAAAACCCAAGCAGGGATAGAGACAATATCAAAGTAATAATCAATGGAAGTTACTTTAGGCAGTTTCTGTAGCAATGACATGACTGAAAAAATGAAAAAAACAAAAAGAAAAACAACGGAAAAAGACAAAAAACTTATAAAACCCCCAAAACAACCGAAAAAGCAATTTAAAATATTTACTGAAAAAAGAAAATTGGCATAATGTTTATTTTATTTATTTTCTCCAAATCTCTCACTGTCTCTCTTAACTTTATACAGTATTTCCCTTAATTGTTTTTTGGCTTGACCACATTTGACCAATAACACATTTTGCCAATAAGCACAAAATCCCTCATTTTGTCAATAAGGCCTCGTTGGTAAAACGCGGGTTTTTACCCTTGTTGGCAAAATGTGGTATTGGTCAAATATAGAATTATGCGTTCCTTACAATAGAAAATTTTTTTTGTACTTGTCCATTGATTTTCTTATAAACTTTTCTTAAAAAAACTTTTATTTTTCAGCTTTGTTTTAACCTTTATTTTTGACCTTGTTAGTTTAACGAGCTTAATTATATACAAAAATGTCTTCATCCGACGACTCTTCAGTTGACGAACCAGTTCCGGTGACTAAAAAAGGGAAGGCTAATGGAAAGAAGGCTGCGGCGCCTGCTAAAGCAGCACCGGCTAAGAAGGCTGCCCCAGCGGTATATTTTCTTGGATTTTGAGAGATTCTGATTTAAAATTTAGAAAGGCAAGAAGGCTGCACAAAAGGATTCTGACAGTGATTCGAGCGCAGATGACCAACCGCCACCGGCAAAGAATAGCAACAAGAGGAAGGCTGAAACGGACGAATCTGAGGATGATGCTTCTAGTGGTGATGATGAGGAATATCAACCTGCAAAGAAGAAGGAGACTAAACAACCTCCGCAGAAGAAAGGAAAAGCAGCGGCTAAAAAGTCGGATTCTGATGAGGATGTTTCTGAAGATGACGCGGAGGAGAAGGAATCTGTTAAGGCTAAAAATGGAAAGAAGGAGAAGGGAGGGGGAAAGGCTGCTGCGGCAACCAATGTTGAGATCAATGCCGAGGGAAATGAGGTTTTGTTTAGATTGGAAATGTTTCTATTTTTCACTTGAAGATGTTCCCAATTGGTATGAAACGCTTTGCTGCTATCAACACTTTCAAAGGTCAGCTTCATGTGGACATTCGTGAGTACTACCAGAAAGATGGAGGAAAATGGCTTCCTGGCAAGAAGGGAATTAGTCTTACGCAGGCGCAGTTTTTTGAGTTTGAGAAGGTTTCTTTTAAACTTTTTTTGAGTGGAATAGTCTCGTTGGTGTCCCCCTTTTTTGTATGCCCCGTTTACATTGATTTTTGACCCCAAAAATAAGCGTGGTCTTCTCCTATGATTTTGACCATTTTAAGTTCTATATTTCGGTCCAAATTTGTTACTTTTTCAAATGACACATGATTCAAGCATTTTATTCGGGCAGCTCTATTTGGCACCCGAGTTTTTTTCGTTTGCCTTGTTGTAGTTGAAAATTGCTGTTATTCGTATTTTGGGGGGTTTGAATCCTCCTGGGATGTTTTATTTTTTCTTGACAATAGTGGAAATGAATGGTAGGAAAAGGAGGAAATGAGCGAGACTATAAGCCATTTTTGATCATTATTTTATTTTTTTAGCTGATACCAACACTCAAGAAGAAATTGGCATCGACCTAAAGTCTGGTTAAAGAATTTGATTTTTTTTGTTGTTGAAGAATGCGTGTCAAAATATATAAGTTATATATTCCAACTCTTATATTTATTTTGAGAATTAAAAAATCATTGATCTTTTGAGTATTTATCTGTTGACTATTTTTAAATTTAAATAAAAAATGTTTCGTTATTTTTTGAATGCATTATTTTTGCTTTTATATTTTTGGTAGTTAATTTTTTAAAATAATTTTTGTTTTTGGAGGATGTCTGATACTGGAAATAATGCAGATAAAGGGGTAGGTTCTTTGAATATTTTTTTGGAAGGTTGGCTGTTATAACCAGAGGTCGGTCGGAAATGTCGAAGGTACGGGAAATCGGAAATGGCTCAAAAGTCGCAAATCGGAAGGAAAAACGTCGGAATTCCGACCGGCCTCTGGTTATAACTAGAATGGTTGGTGATCGGTAGTTTTTTTTCTTTGGCGGCTCGAATGCTTTTTTCTATTTGAACTGCCACAGGCAAAAATTAGCCGTTCGCCATCACCTCAAGTTGGCACATTTTCTAGGAAGGACCTCTATTTCAGTTTAACCTCATTAGGGGAACACATTGTCTCTTATGATGAGGTTCCATAGTACTTGTCCTTCCACCCAATGGTCACCGAAAATTTATTAAGTATCCTTGAGGTGTTTTTAATTTTGCGGATACTTTATAGTCAGGTCTACTAGCTTCAATTCCATTTTTATCAGGAAGTATCTTTTATTTTTTAAGAATGCCGACTCTTCATTTGCGTCGACATCTGCTACCTCGAACGAATTCAGCGGCGTTTTAAGCCCTTTGGAACCTTTGGATCCAAACAAATTCAGAAATATAATGTTGGATAAACCTGAAGTATCTTCTAGCAGTGTTGCCAATGTATATTTTAAAGATGTTTTTTACTTTAAAAATTTTTAGAAGACGTCTACTCAACGTGTTTCTATGGAATCGTTATCGATGGATAGCTCTACTAGCAATGAATTTCGAGGTTTATAAAATATTTTGGCTGTGGTCGAGTTTAAGAGTCTAAAGACAGGTTATACGTCTAGGAAGCTTTGCTGAAGTTTAAAACTCTTGGACTGAATTTTTATTGGACCTTTGTTGGACCCTTCAATGGACTCAAACCCTTTATTCAATTCTTAACTCTTTATTAGACTCCTAAGCTCTATTGGACTCTCAGGCCCTTTGTTTGAGTCGTAGACCCTTTAAAGGGTTCAACCCAGTCCAGAGCCAAATTTACATATTTTTCTCTAATTTTAAAATTTTGCAGAAAAAAGTGTTTCGCTCGATTCAGCAACCCCAAAAAGTTTTTACCATCAAACAGCACCTCCAACTCCTATAACTCATTCTTATCAACACCAACCGCCACAGTGTCATTCACAACCACCACAGAGTCCAGCTATTCAACAATTACAACAACGAAGTATGTCTTTGCAGCAACATCCACATGTTCAACAACAACAACAGCAGAGTCATTTACATCAATATTTTCCGGCACAACGTAAATATTTAAGTTTGATTATATATCTTTCGTAACCTTATGTTGGTGGAACCTCGGTGTAAGCTACACCCCCTTTGCCTTATAATGAGGTCTTTCTTAACTAGTGGGTTTCTTCAAATTAGTCCTTTACCAAGTGGTGAGATAGCTCTTTATTTAATCAAGGAGCTGCCGAAGTGTGATACTCCGTATTTAAGTTAACTTTATTATAAGGCAAGGGCGTAGCCAGTGAGCTTTTGAGGCTATAGGTTATAGCCCTTCCCTTGAAATGGGGGGGGGGGTTTATAGCCTGAAATCGACCTTCTGGCTACGCCCTTGTTATAAGGTACAAGTTTCAACCTTAAGGATTTATTGCATGGTGTCTATAATTTTTCTAAATTTTCAGCTCCAATGCAACAAATCCAGCAGCCTATGCAATCTCAACACCCCTCACAAACTCTACTTCCTTTCTCCCCAATCCAGCAAGGTCAATATGGCATTTCACCGCAAATGATTCAGCATCCAAATAGCATGATGCATGGACATCCACATTGGATACATCATCAACAACAGTTACAGCAGCAACAACAATTTCAACAACAACAATTACAACAGCAACAACAATTACAGCAGATCAATCAGGTTTGTCTTTAGATTTGTTTTTTAATATGTTTACTTTTTAAGAGGGCTTTAGTAAGATTCTGGATTTTAAGTTTATCTTTTTTTTTGTTTTATTAAAATATTGTGAGCAAAAGTTTAAGGACTTTGACAGTTTGCTCACCACCTATAAAGAATCAAAGACTTTGATTTCTCTTTTATATAGATTTAAATCCGTGTCACGACACTTGCAGATATGACATTTGCAGACCCGACACTTGCAGACCCGACTTTTGCAGACCCGACATTTGCAGATACCGACACTTGCAGATATGACACTTGCAGATCAGACATTTGCAGATCCGACTTTTGCAGATTAGACCCATTTCGCTTTCTTCTTTACCTTACCTATACACCGTGGTGTGTTTGCTGCTGTGGAGGAATCCTGGGATGCCCATCTCATCGATGATAAGAATAGGATCATGTTACGAGCCCAGAGCCCAGCGACCGTTGAACCCCGCGAGGCGCGTGCCGCAAAACCCCGAGCGAAGCGCGGGGTTTTGCACAAGCGCCTCGCCGACGCTCCACAGGTCTATGTTGAACGTTTTGAACCTTCGGAAAAAGGGAATCTCCCGAAAAAAGAGTGGCTCCGTTCGACTCAGCTCGTCGAGACGAAGTGGTATGGGTCTTATATCAAAACCTTTCCACCGGTATACTATACTATATCCTTTGATTTTTTAAGATTTTTAAATTTTTTTCAAAAATTAATATCTGCAAAAGTCGGATCTGCAAATATCTGATCTGCAAGTGTCATATCTGCAAGTGTCGGTATCTGCAAATGTCGATCTGCAAAAGTCGTCTGCAAATATCGGGTCTGCAAATGTCATATCTGCAAGTGTCGTATGACCTTTAAATCTCCGCCCTAAGCTTTTTTAATTGCTACCCAGTTGTGGTTCTTCCCTTTCCTTACATGTTTTTTCTTTTTATTTTCCCTAAATTAGACTTATTTTTTAGCAACCTCCACCATATCAACAACATATTTCATCACCAAATCAACAACAACAAATGTACCAACAGCAGCATGCTTCTCTTATTAAACAACAAGTAGTTCATCAACAAATATCCCATCAACATCATCAACAAAATGTAACGGCTTTTATGGGAACTGGTGAGGGTATTGGCAACAATAATGTACTTCTTCATAATCAACAAATTGGTGCCCCTTCACGTTTCTCACCTCATCCATCTCCTCAACAACAACAGCAACAACATTTGACGCCTTCTAACCAACAAAGGTATAAATTCATAGTAAGACTAGTCATGGGTTTCGACTTAACGTTGTTACCGAATGATTTGAAGTGACACGGCCGGTTAATTTTTCCCTGTGGCGACTAAAGCCACATCACACAAGGCAAGATTAACTGCTCGTGTCCAAAACTCTTGTTTTGACCCTCGAAAACTCTGACTTCTATTTTTAACCCTGGAATACTGCGAGGGTCTTAATTCCTGTAAACCCACCGATTCCAACCGACTAGACCCCAAAGGTTTCGAACACCCTCCACCCCCACCCTACCCCCACCCCCCTTCTTAATCCCCCTAAATAAATTTTAAAAAATTTTCAGGCACCCATCTTCCTCAACTATATCACCTGAATATTTAAACTATCAACAACAACAACTTAAACTTCCTCCACCTTGTTATGGTCAATCTCCACAAGTTGTCGCTAATAATTATTCTCAATACCCAGCGGGTTTTCAACAACAACAGCAGCATCAACAAAGAGCAGCAACGTTTCAATCTCCAACAGAGAACCTTATTCAATCGCAGCAACAATCACATCAAAATTCTTCTTCGGAAAAAATTATGCGACCTGCACAAATCGTTGCACATGGAGGTTTTTTGTTAAATAATTTTTTAGATATATTAAATACTTTGAAAATTAGATAAACCTCGGTTTTATCGTCTACTGGATAAGGGGAATTATATAAGTTATACCCTCTATTTAAGACACACCTCATTTTAAGAGACTTATTTCTTTTTGTCCCTAGGGTTGTTTCTTATATTGAGATCTGATTATATTGTCTATGAGATACCCTCTATTTAAAATACACTTCATTATGGGAGACAAAGAATTTTTTGTCTGTCCCAACGTGGATGTGGTTTTATTATCTCAAAAATAGGTATTTTTAAAATTTTTTTATTTTTTACAGCACCAGGCGGCTTTTCATCTCCCGAATATACTTCAAACTTTAATTTATCAAATTGTGCAAATGTTCCTGCTCATATGATGTATAATCAACAAATTTCTCACCAACAATTACCTCCACAGAGACCACAACAAATGTTACAGCATGGAATAATTCAACAGCAACAACAAATACCTTCACAAGCACTTGCTCAATCTTTAGGTTTAAATTTTAAAAGAGATTGGAGTGAGATGGAAGGGCAGAGGAGATGAAGAAATGTCTGCTATTAAAAAGATTTTTTGACCGAAAATTTTTTCTGAAAATTTTTTTAAATTTTTTCGAAAATCGAGATTATTTGGCAGGCTGTTTTATTCTCGATAGCTCGTCCAAGTCCTGTTTCTTTTTTTGCTGTAGAAAATTCATTGAATGGAAATTTTTATTTTCAGCGCCGCAGGCGAAAATTTTGAGAATTTCAAAAAAATTCACTTTTTCGGCGCCGCAGGCGCCAAAATTTTGTTTTTCAGCGCCGCAGGCGAAATTTTTTTGAATTTTGGACCTCAAGAAGACAGATTTTTTCGTTTTTTAGCGCCGTTGGCGAAAATTTTTTAAAGTTTAGAGGCCGTAGGCCAAAAAAATTCACTTTTTTTGCCCCAGCCCTTCCCCAAATTTTTTCCTTTTTCCCATTTTGGGGGGGGGGGGGGGAATTCCCCCCCTCACCCCCCTGGCTACGGGCCTGATTCTGCTCATACTAGGAGTAAGATATTTTTATGAATTGTAGAGGAAGATTTTTTTTAATTAAAAAATAAATATTTTTTTTCAGTTCAACAACATGTTATTGTAACACCTACTGGAAATCCTGTAAATCCAGAAATTTGTTTAACTGGTTGTGTTTTTTTATTAATTGATGATTGTAATCCTCAACTTGTTGACAGGTTTTTTTTGAAAATTTTTTTGAAATTTATTTTTTTAATTTTTAAGTTATCAACTTTCCAGTGTTATTCGTTTTTATGGAGGTTTTTAATTTTTAAAAAATTTTTTTATTTTTTTAATCAAAAGGTGATGTTGAATCAAGCAATCCACGTGGTATTCCTGAGGTTTTCTTTTTTGAAAAATTTTTTAAATTTTTCAATGGATTATTTTAAGCGTATTACTCATATTGTTTGTTCTAGTTGGTAAGTTTATTAAAAAAAATTTCTTTGGATATATTTTTTGTATTTTTTAAGGTTTGATAATAAACAACTTTTAATTGGTGCATTGGCCACTGTTGGGGTTTTTTTCTTTTATGTTTATAAAAAATCTGCAAGTTTTCTTAAGTCTAGTTTCGGATCGAATTTTTCAAAATTTTTTTAAATCTGGTTTTGATTTTGAGTCCAGGCCCGTAGCCAGGGGGAAAATAAAAATGTTTGGTACCTTCGGCGTTAAAAATTTTGCGCAGAAAAAATTTTCCCCCCTTGGCCCCCCCCCCCCCCCCCCCGAAAAAAAATCCTGGCTACGGGCATGTTTGGGTCGAAAAAAGACTGGGTATTGTATTTGTCTTAACCCATAACATCTCCGATAGGCATTATTATTTTTTTTCTTTTAATAAAAGTTAAATTTGAGACTTGCGGACTAAACTTGCGGATTTTTTTAAAGACTCATTTTCTAAAAATATTTTTCTTAATTAATTTATTTATTTAAGGAATTTATTGATAAACATCGAAATCGTCGTTTTCAGCGTAAAGCTCAACGTATAGTAACTTTACATTGGTTAAACGATACAATAGGAAAAAGACTAGTTGAGCAGCCATCAAAAGCTGCTCATTTGCCAGGGTTTTTTTTAAATCTTTTTTTAAATTAATTTTTTCCTTTTTTAAAGATTTTGGAGTGTTTTAAACCCAAATCCAGAAATTTCTTCAAAAATAATTTCTTTTCATGGATTTGACCAAAATGACTCCAACGCAATAAAATATATGATACGTTCAATGGGTGCTTATTGTGTACCGTTTAATTCAAAAACTGATTTTCTTGTTATTAATAAAAGGTTTTTCTTTTAATTTATTCAAAATTTTATTTTTGAGATTATTTATTAAAAAAGGAAGTTTAAAATAATTTTTTCCCAAAGTTGGATTCGAACCATGCTCGTAAAAGCTAATAATTAAATTGGAGCCTAGCGTCCTAACCACTCAACCAAAAATTTTCTTTTGAACAGCAAACATTTTTTAAAGAATTTTTTTAAGGCCTAAAAATTTTTTGAAATTTTTTCTTGTTGAGAATTTGTTTTCTTGTTTAAAAAAATATTTTTTTCCATCGTAAGGTTCGAACCCTGCTCATCAAAATATAAAATTAAAATGAAACCTAGCGTCCTAACCATTCAACCAAAAATTTTGTAACTAATGATTAAATTGCAGTCTAGCGCCTTAACCACTTGACTAAAAATTTTTTTTTTAATTTTTTAAAGTTCATTGACAGACCAAATAATTGAAAAATCTCATTCGTTCAACACTCAACTTGTCAATTATAAATGGCTTTTTGAATTATATTTTGGAAATATTAATGTTCTTGTTCCAACAGAAGCTCAACGTTATTTTCCTGAAGCTGAAACTTTATTAACTTGTGTTACAATTTCTCCCTATTATTTGGGAAAAATGAGTGAATTTTGTTCTAGATTGATGGGTAAGTGAGGAAAATTTTTTTGAAATTTTTTTATGAAAATTTTAATTTTTTAAGCTCCTTGGAATATACAAATTCCAGTTAAAGATGAGATTATTAATTCTGCATATTTAATGAAAAGAACAATTTTTCAAGATGTCAGTGTTTTCCCTGAAAAACTTTTTAGGTTTCCTTTTTTAAATATTTTTTAATAATTAGTTAATTTTGGGTCTTCATTGTAGGATACACCTTGATTGTAGGTGTGAAAAAGTGAATAAATAAAATTGGGGGATATTGTTAGGGTTTATTTAGGGATATCTAGGGCTATCTCACCCCCATTGACACCTAACTTTAAAAAACATCTTAAACATCATTTTATAGTCTGCTAAAAACATTTACAGTCAGCGTTTGTAAGCTCATATTTTCCTGAAGCTGAAACATAAAAAAATTGGTTATATCTATAATTACTCATATTTTGGGGAGATAAAATTCTGGGAGGTTTATTTTCAAAAATGTCAATTTTCCCTTTCACCTTCCAAAGATCTCTAAATTTCGCCTGTTTCGATTAAAATTTTTTTTGTTAATTTTTAAATATTATTGGTGATTCAACTATATTTTTTTAATTTATATTTTTTTAAAGATTAACCGATAATGCACCAACTGAGGAACAAATATCAAAAGCAATAGATGTAATTTCTGCTAGCAATAAAGAACCTATAAATGTCTGTACTTTTTTAAAAGCTTTTTTTTATTAAAAATTTTTTTTTATTTTAGATTTTTGTTCTATTTGATGGATTCACAGGCGAACAAGTTGATAATATGTCCAAAAAAGTTAGATTTTTGGCAGCAAAAGTAGTTGAGTCGCCCAATGAATGTACTCATTTTGTAACTAGTTCTCTTAGAAAATGGTTTTCTAATAAATTTTCGAATATTTTTTTTTAATTTTTTAAGCGTCAATTTGGTTACATGTATCGCTTTGGGAAAACATATTGTTTCTCCTTATTGGGTTTTTTTTATTAATTTTTTTATTTAAGTAATTTTTTTTTCTGATTTCTAAGGTGGAAACAAGCTTCAAATGTTTACAGTTTGTCGGTATTTTTTTTTAAATTTTTTTTAATTTATTTTTTTGTGTATCTAATTTTTCTGCTAATTTATTTTTTACATAAAAAATTTTTTTTAACTTCCCAAGTTAATTTAAAAAATTGCTTGTTTCAGATCCTCTCCCTTTCTTTGTCAAGGATCGTGAAAATGAAAGAAAATATTGTTTCAGGTTTTGATTTTGAAAAATTATATTTTTTCTCATTAGATTTGCAAAGATATGTACATTGAACTTATAAACTTTATTAGACCTAAATTATTTTATTTTCAGTTTAAAAGTTTCTGTTCTTCGTGCAAGACAACGTAAAATATTTAAGGTTAATTTTTTTAATTTTAAAAAATAATTCTTTTTTTAAGAATATTATTTTCCATATTGGTCAAGGAACTCAACCTTCTTTTGGAATTCTCCGTCAACTTGTTGAAGCAGCTGATGGTAGAGTTGTAGAAGAAAAACCAACAAAAAAAGAATTGATTGAATATATGCAGGTTTAGATTTTTTTAATGATTGATTAAGGGGATGTTAAAGCTGTGAAATTTTGCAGACAAAAAATTTTTTGCGGATTTTCTAGAATAATATTTTTGGTGTCGCAATAGTCCCGATTACCCTAAATTACCCTAAAAAAATAGTCCCTATTACCTAAAAAAAATTGACCCAGAGCCCTCCTTTTTTGAAATCCGGCTCATCTCTGATGTCTCCATTCCGCCTGAAGTTGTAAGAAAATTGAAGTTGTAAAAATCCGCAAAAATTTTGTCCTCAATATCCAATCTTCAATTTAATTTTTTTAAATTTATTTTTTAAAAGAATGACCAAACATATTTTATTGTTTGTAATCATAATGATCTAGTCTTTTATCAATACCTTATTAATTGCAATTTTCGTAAGTTTAAAATTTTTTGGAAAATATTTTTAAAAAAATCTCTTTTTAAAGCAATTTTCAACGAGGATTTCATCATAATGTCAATTTTACGTCACAAAATTGATCTCTCACCAGATTTTCATGCTTATCAAAGTTTATCAATTCAATCATTAAATATTGGGAAGAAATGAAAAAAATTGATGATGATGATGAAAAGGAGAGTGAAGTAGGGAGAAGGAATGTCTGGATGATCTAGCAGAATTTTCTTTAAATTCTTGTCCTTGTGCATGGTTTTTTTATTTTTTTTTTAATTAAAAAATAGGGACAGTGTTTAGGGCCATATTTTTGTCGGATCTCGGTTTTAAATATTCCCTTTCCAATTTTTAAGAGATACTTGGTGTTCTTCCCCTAGAAAAGGAGAGTTGCCTGAGGTGTCGGCGGGACTTCGGGATGAAATTTAGTAGATAGATAGATCATACATTTTTTATTTGCGAAATTTTCACCATTTCCGCTAAATGTATCTATCTACCAAATTTCATCCCGAAGTCCCGCCGACACCTCAGCACTCTCCTTTGTAAGTTAATCTACCTTTTATTTTTCCTTATTGTTAATACGTACAGAATGGTAAGACTTTCTCCCTTCATCAATTTTACTCAATTTTCCTCTAAATTTAATTACCCATATGTTTGTACCTTTCAAAAATACCCATGAATTTTTCAGCATCAAGAAAAGGGGTACTATTTAAAATTGAGGTCCTTCTATAATATTAAAAAAATTTTTTTTTAAATTTGTTTATGCACTTTATAATTTTTTAATAAAAAATCAATATTATTTTTTATTTTAATACACGTGTAATTTAATGATTGAATCGAATGTCTGCGCGCAATGCCTTAATAAAAAAAATTTTTTTCTTGGCCATTTTTAAAATTATTGAGTGCCATTTATTGAAAAAAATTTTTATCCTTATTTTCTCTGATTTAATAGAGAGAGAAAGTGAGAGAGAAGAAAAAATATTCAAGTCTAGCGAGTTTTTTAGAAGGCTCTTAAACTTAAAAAAAAATTTTTTTTAATTTGAGAAGGCTAGAATTGAAAGTAGGGTAGTAGGTAGTCCCCCGAAACCCGACGAATTTTTAGGTAAAAACCCCGACCCGAAGGCACTACCCCGGAAGACCCCGAAACCCGACACTCCTATCTCCGAAGGCGCGGGGTGCTACCCTAATTAAAAGGCGCTACTAGGGAAAGATTTTTTTGGCTTTGGTCTATCAAAAAAATTTTTTTTTTAATTTTTTATCTTTTTTAGCTTCTTTGTTTTATTATTTCAGAAGAAAAATATTTTTTCTATTAGAAGAAAAAAGAAAGAAATGTTTACAGCACCTTTAGTGGTGGTGCTTCCATTCCTTTACTTGACCAATTTGATAGAAACTTCATCTAGTCAACAACCCGATTTTCAACAAATGTTTGGAAGTTTACTTTCGGGGGTTCAATCTGCTTTAAAAGAAATGCAAAAACCTAAAGGTTTGAGGGGGTGGGGAAGAGAAGAGAAAAAATTTTTATTTTTAGGTAATGGAGGGAATGATAGTGATGATGAAGATGATGAGGGAGATGGATTCGCTGGAATTCAAAAATTAATGGAATCAATTGATACAGAAAAAGTTGGACAATTCATCCAAAATTTTGCTAATCCGGCTAAATTGATGTCTTGGCTGCCGATGAAATTTCAAGGTTAAAAAAATTTATTTTGAAATAGACATAAGATACACTAGGAAATATTGGATACAATCTAGTTTAACATAAATTTTTTAAAAAGTGGTTGGTTACTGGGTTGTGGAGCAGGCAAGGTTGACAATGAGACGATTAGTTTCGTGATGCCCGGAGAGTTATCCCTTATCTAGCCTAAAAAGGAATATATGGGAGGGGTTCCTTTGGAGGGTTTCCTTTCCTATCCTCCTTTGTGCAATCACGAAACGAAACGTTTCGCCCATGTCTGCTCCTCCATTCAGTAGCTAACTAAAATTTTAAAAAACGCCGTGCCAAATTGGGATGTATTAAGTAATATTTGGGGGAAGGGGATCTTATGGTGAAGTTCAAGATTTGTCTTATCCTTTCCACTCTTTCCAGATTATATACCCGAAGGTTGGCGTGAAAAAATCATAACAATTATAACCTCTGAATTGGACAAACTAGCGGCTGTTTGGGATGCTTTGGCAAAATACAAAACTTTGGAGCATGTTTGGAAAGCTTTGAAACGGAATACCCCTACTTTGGCTTCTCTTTTGGAAGATGCTTGGAAGATTATTAAGCAGCGTTGGGCTAAGTTTAATGGTGGATTGGAGCCGGAGGCGAAGGAATACATGCACAATGTGAGTGAAATTTTGGGAGGTTTTGTTAATGGGACTCTATTGACTGGTTGGCTAAGTGGTCATTTGGCCAAATGTCATCAGACCAAATGTCAAGTTCCCAAATGTCCACTGGCGAAATGTCAAATGACGAAAAAATATAAGAATTTAATATTTGCAGGTTAAATCTTCATTTGGTCATTGGCTATCAGATAAAGTCCTTGTTCCATTCAAAAATCTTCCACCAAAAACATCAACAAATGTTCGCAATTCGTTAACAAAAGCATTCCCTGCAGTCGAGCCATATTTGACAAAATTATCAGAAAGTGAAGTATTTTCAAAATGGGCTGCTGATTTGGCTGGAGAAGAAGAGAAGAAGGAAGAAGAAAAGAAGAAAGATGGAGAAAAGATGAAGGATGAAGAAGGAAAAAAGAAGGAAGGAGAGGGAGTTAAGAGTGAATTGTAGTGGGAAGAGAGGGAAAGAGAAAAAGAGGGAGAAGCAGCAAGGGACAAAAGGTCGCGCGGACATAACGTCTCAAAGCCGTAACTTGCTTCAAGATTTTCGAATCTTTTCATATTTTAGTATTAAACGATTCCTCTCATTAAGCTAAAGAGATTGGTACCAAAATCGATTTGGGTCAAAAATTTCCCAGCAAGTTATGCCTTTGCGCCGTTATGGCCGTGCGCCCTTTTGGGCAGTACCTTGTTTTTTAGTATTGTGATATGTTACTTTCTATATTTATTTTTTTTAAAAAGGGCTGTTGATTGAAATCTGTAAAAAGCTGTATTTTTATTTTTAGTCTTTACCCAAAGTGTCTTGTGGCGTTTTGTCGTTTTCTTCATTTTTTGGTATTTTGAAAGTTTTACAAAATGTAATTTTTAACGTTTACTTTGAGTTTTGGACACGTTATCAGTTTTATAAAAGTATTTTTTTATTTGTCTCCTTTTTTGTTAAAATTTGTTTTAAAATATACACGTTTATCTCTTTTATTAAAAATTAAAAATTAATTTTTTAGGCAATTTTATAGACTTAAAATAAAATGGACAATATTTTGCTTACCCTAATAGCTCGAGTTAGTGATGGATTAATTTTGGCAACTTCAATTGAGGGAGCAGACAATGTTTATTTTTTTTATTTTTTAATTAATTTTGAATGAATTTTTCAGCCTGACCACAATATGGTTAAATATATGAGTCAAGCAAAAGTGATCTTTCGTAAATTGAATAGTCCAAATACGCCACAGATTCAATCAATTACCAGTGGACAATATTTTTTTCAGTAAGTGATTAAATTTTTTGGGCTGGTTTTGGGGTAGGATGAAGAGAAGAAACGTTGGATGTAATCCCTCTTTCTGTTTTAAAAATATTTGCCTCGGAGCGGGTTCGAACCCATGACCCCTTTTTTTCGTCTATTATTCTTTTTTTGGCTAATTTTTTTAAGAAAAAATGGCAAAAACCTTGGTTTAATGGATTTTCTCGTTTCTTATTATTTATTGCTGTTTCCTGGTTTTAAAAAAATTCTTTGACGCCGAGCGGGGTCGAACCCATGACCCCCTCTATTGCTAGTCCTTTTGATTTTATTTTTTTTAAATTTCCAAAATCTTTGGTAATAGTCTCGTTTCCCAGCCCCATTTTTTCCTCCCAATTTTCTACCCTATGTTTGTACGGAATGGTCAAATTTTCCCCTTTCTTTCATCAAATTTGCCTTTCCATATTTTGCCTAAAAACAATCAAAAAGATTAATTTTTTTATTCATTTCTTTCACAAGGATAAAAAAGTGAGACATGATGCCAAAAATTATAAAAAACATTTTCAATATTGCCAAATCGTTTTCGCCACAGAAATTCCGGGAGATAACTTTTATAGGTTCCAGTGTTGTTGCCAGCTTGATGTCTGAATTTTCGTTTATAAGTTGACCACAATGATTCAATGTTCTGTGTCTCTTCCATTTTTATTAATTGGGAAAATGATTCTTCTCATTACTCTAATACTTTTTTAAATATCACAAATTAATCTTTTTGATTGTTTTTAGGCAAAATATGGAAAGGCAAATTTGATGAAAGAAAGGGGAAAATTTGACCATTCCGTACAAACATAGGGTAGAAAATTGGGAAGAAAAAATGGGGCTGGGAAACGAGACTATTACCAAATCTTTTTTAGTTATATTGTGAAGGGTGCAATATGTGCTTTATCTTTGTGTGAGCAGAATTTGAATAGAAAAATAGCTTTTGCTTATTTGGAAGATGTTGCTGTTGAATTTCTTAATCAATATGGAACTCAAGTGGCTTCGACAACTAGACCATATCATTTTTTGGAATTTGGTATAATTTTAAAATATAATTTGTTTTTGCATGTGTAAGATGATTTTTTCAGAGTTCCTGACATTCCTGGACTTTTGCGAAAATATTTGACACATAGCGGGTTCGAACCCACGACCCCCCCCCCCTTTTCGATCGTCTGTTAACTTTCAAAAAATTTTTTGCAGATACTTATATTCAAACTGCAAAAAGAAAACATATGGATAAAGGACGTAATGCATTTGCCGCGGTCAGTAATGAATTACAAGATGTTACAAGAATTATGGTTTCTAATATTGAGGACGTTATACATCGTGGGGAGGCATTAAATAGTTTGTTTTTAATTTTTGTTTAATTAAAAAAAATTTTTTTCTTCTTCAAGTTCTTGAGTCTCGTGCTTCCGATCTCTCCCATTTAAGCAAAAAATATCGCGAAGATGCTCGACAATTAAATCGACGAACGGCAGTGTTTAAATTATTTATTGCTATTGGGGTTGCTTCAATTTTATTTTTAATATTCCGATTTGTTTATTTTTGAGCTTTGTTTTTGTTTTGTTTTTTATGAGATTTGAGGATTAAATTAAAAATAAATTTATTTTTAATAAATATAAATTCACTTATTTTTTGATTTTTATTTTTTGGTGACTTAAATCGATGGTTTGCTCGATTTGAAATTTTTGAAATTTTCTTTGTTTTTCCTTTTAAATCTGATTTGTATTTTTCTATTCACCTTAAACAAAATGAGCACGTGTGTAAATACAACTACATTGGTTATTGAATTAAATAATGGAGAGTTTCTGGAAACCAAAGTTTTTCGGCTTGAACAAGGTTTATTCTTGAAATAATTATTTTATTAAATTATCTGCGGAAAGACTGGTTATTTGGCTTTCCTGAATTGTTCGCATAAGTCTAAAAAATCATTTTGATTGTCTATAAGCTAACAATCCCTGATTGGGAAAGAGTCTTGTTAGGCTGTCTTTGAACCTTGGCTCTAACGGCATAGATTTTTACTAATTGTTTTCACACCTCCGTAATCATTTGACTAGCAAACCTCGATTTTTTCGATTCTCTTATAAAAGTCCTGTTTTATAGTCATGTCTTATAAAAATTTACAATCTCCAACCAGCTGTTCAATTTTTTAAATTTAATTTTAGGTTGGAAAATACACTTCAAACTTGGTGAATCACTTATTGGAAAAGCTATTCGCCTAAATATATTGGATACTGATTTTGATCAAAAATTTCCTACATTTTATGATGATGCTATTAAAAGTTTGGATTCAAATGAGAATTTTTTAGTTTTTGAATGTAATGCTTTTGGGGCTTACAAGTAAATTAAAAAATTTTTTAATTATTTTTTTGGGGTATATATGTGGGGACATATTTCTGAAAACAATCAACGACTCGCTCCAAGCCGCAATACTTCTAGACATCCTTATATATTTAATTAGCTATCAAAGTGTTTAAATGATTAAGGAGTGGTCATGTTTATCGGGGAGGTTGCTCTGAGACCTAACATCGAAGCTAGCTTCAGTCAGAACCGAAATTAGTTGTGATTAGTAAAACCTGGAGCCGGAGCCATGATTTGAAAATTTTCCTAGCCAGAGCCAGAAAACGCCCAAGACATAGCTCGGATCCTTATTAATTTTTTAATCTAATCCTTAATTTTTTTATTTCTTAATAGATACCAATTTTATGCTGATACCTCCTTTTCGACAAATTCCACCCCGCTTGGTTCTGGTTATTTCACAATTTTACCTCAATGGAGAATTGGAAAAGAACAAAAATTGCTTTCAGTAAATGGACTCTGTACAATAACTTTTTTAACAAAATTGTTGGGTCCTTTAAATGAATGGGAAGAGAGATTAAAAGTTGCTAATAAATGTTGTTTTAATGTTATACATTTAACTCCTGTTCAACAATTGGGAATTTCTAATAGCAGGTTTTTTGGATTTGGAATTTTTTTGTGAAAATTTTTTTGGGATTAAAAAATTTTTTTGGGAAATTCTTTGGAAAAATTTTCTATGATTTTCTATGAAAATTTTTTTTTAATTTTTGGGAAAATTTCAAAAATTTTTTGGGTCCGAAATTTTTTTTGGAATTTTCTTTGAAATTCATATTTTTTGGGGTTTTAAAAATTTTTTCTGGAAGTTCAAAAATTTTTTGGGATTTTTTTAATTTTTTGTAATCTAAAAAATTTTCAAAAATTGAAAAAAAATTTTCGGAAGTTCGAAAAAAATTTTATTTTGGATTTTTAAAATTTTTAAAAATTTTTTCTTCTCATTATCAGTTATTCTATTGCGGAACATGACAAATTAAATCCTTTATTTGAAAGTAATTTTGATGAACTAGAATGTCTAATAAGGAAAATTGAATCAGATTGGAATATTTTAACAATTCAGGATGTTGTTTGGAACCATGCAGCTAAAAATGCTTCTTGGCTACAGGTTTTGTTTAAACTTGAGAAATTTTGGGATTTAAAATTGGAAATTCTTTAAGAAATTAATGGAAATCTTAAGATAGCGCGGAACATTTAAGAAGCATTCTTTGAATGCCAAAACATTGAAAATCTAAAAAGCCATTGAATGCCAACATGTTCCCATTGTTGCAACAACATTTTGGCATTTTGTAAAATTTTTAGGGGTCCGAAAAAATTTACGATCACTTCCAATAAATTGTCATTTCAATGTTTTTTGATGACATTTTAATGTCATTGCAAGCTGCCCTAGTTTAGAGGCCACCATAAGAGCTTTGGCTCGGGCACACCTATTATTTCCTGTTATTTATTCATAGGCTTTGCTTTCGTTTACCACGTATAGGTGAGTATGTCGGTCAAATTTACTTGTAAGCTTCAAATTTTTGTTGAAAATTGACAAAAAAATTTTTAAAAATTTTTAGACCCATCCAGAATGTGCCTACAATCTTTCCAATTCTCCACATTTACGTCCAGCATATATTTTAGATAGAGCATTACAACAATTTAGCAGAGAAATTTCTCAAGGAAAATGGGAAATGAAAGGAATTCCTCCTTTAATTAATTCAGAAATTCATTTAAATTCAATTTATTCAGTTTTAAAAGAAGAAATTATTCCTAAATTAAAATTGGAAGAATTTTTTCAAATTGATAGAGAAGAGACGTTAAAATGCTTTGAAAATAAAATTGGAGGTTTTTTAATTTTTTGGATTAAATAAGGGTATGGGGGACATTTTGCCGAATTTCCGTTTCCTGTCAGTCTTGAGGCCACATTTTGGCTCATAACTTTTTTGATTCTTAACCGATTTGGATGATTATTATAGCAAACGAAAGCTATGAATGTGAGGATTATTTTATCTAACAGGATTGATTGGATCAGTTTATTTTACAAAAAGTTACATTTGGGTAAGTGCGCTCAATCGTGATTTTTGATTTGATAGAGCATTAAGTTATTCAGCTGTAATTTTTTGTAGGATGATCTGGTCAAAGCAATCCTTTTAGATAAAATAATCCTATCATTCAGAGCTTTCGATTGATATAAAACTTATTCGAATAGATTAAGAATCAAAAAAGTTATGACCCAAAATTTGGCCTCAAGACTGAAACGACGATTCGTTGAAATGTCTCCTACCCTTTTTAATAGTTAAATAATTAATTTTTATAGATATTTATTCAAATAGTGAACCCTTGTCAAGTCAAAATGCTGGAAAAACATTAAATGATATTGTAATTATTCAAGACAAGGAATATAGACGTTTAAAATCAACTGTTGATATTGATACTGCAATTGAATGGGCTGTAAATAATAAAAGGTTTTTTTTAGATTTTTTAAAATAAAGTTCTGGAAAGCAAAAGAATTATTGGAAAGAAAATTATTTTTTGAAGGGGCTTCTACTTTTTTTTTAAAAAGTAGTTTTTGTGGTGTAGTGGGAAAATTTTTAGTTCATCAAACAAAAGGGTTGAAGGTTCGAGTTTTTTTGGTTGAAAATTATTTTTATTTTATAAATAAGATAAAATAAATAACAAAATACGAAATTACTTCAATAAAGATTGTATTGGATATTTTTTCAAAAAAAAATTTCAAAAAATTTTTTTCATCAAATTGAAAAAATTTTCCAAAATTATATTTATTTCAGTTCAGACATGTCAGAATCCATTAATTTATTCAATGCCCACCTAATTCATTTAAACGAACAAGTAAGACAAACAATTGATGGCCATATATCTGCCGCCATTGGAGCAATAATGGGACATGTTACTTATGAGAGAGTTGCTTCGCATGGACCTAGAAAAGGGTTAATAAGTGATTGTAGTCCTTTGCTTACTTGGTAAAATAATTTTTTAAATTAATATATTTTTTAAAGAATTTTTCGAAAAATTTCTGGAAGAAATTTAATTTCCCCTATGCAAATTGTCCTTGTGGTGTAGTGGGAAAATTTTTAATTTATCAACTAAAAAAGGTTGAAGGTTCGAATCCTTTTGGGAAAAAACAATTTTTATCTTGTAAATAATCCAAAATAAATTAAAAAAAATTATAAAAATTTTTGAAAAATTAAAAAAAAATTTCAAAAAATTTGTTCATAGTTTCCGGAAAAAAATATTCCCCACAAGATTTGTCACTGTGGTGTAGTGGGGAAATTTTTAATTCAATAACCAAAAGGTCGAAGGTTCGAATCCTTCTTGGGACAAACTGAATAATTTTACGAATAATCCAAAAATAATTAAAAAATTTCAAAAGATTTTGTTTTTAAATTTTTCTGAAAATTTTTCAAAAATTTTTTTTCATGAAGTTTTAAAAAAATTTTCTAGTTATTTTCTCCAACCACCGCAATTTTCTTCTCAAACATGGCAAGAAGACGAATCAACTCTCGCTTTTAACCCTTCACTATCTCCTCATATTATGGCATTTAATGGTTGGGTAATGGACTGTTCTAACCCTTTAAATAATTTTGCTGAATTTCCTTCACAAATTTATTTGCGAAGAGAATTAATTTGTTGGGGGGATTCTGTTAAATTAAATTATGGAAATTCAAAAGAAGACTGCCCATTTTTATGGAATTATATGGAAAATTATACTATTAAATGTGCAAAAATTTTTAATGGTTTAAGAATTGATAATTGTCATTCTACACCTATACATGTGGCTGAGGTTAGAAAAATTAATTTTTTTGTAGAAATTTTGAAGAAAATTTAAAAAAATTTCTTGATAAAGGCAGTAAATAATAAAAGGTTTCTTTAATTTAAAAAAATTTTTTTGATAACCAGAATATAAAAATATTTTTAAATACGGAGAAAATCTAATTCAGTTATGAGAATTTGCGTTGTGGTTTAGTGGGAAAATTTTACATTGAAACAGCCAAAGGGTCAAAGGTTCGTATCCTTTTGAGTGAAAATTATTTTTATGCTATAAATAGGCTCAAATAAATAAGAAAAATTTGTTTAAAATCTTTTAAAAATTTTAAAAATCTAAAAAAAAATTTTAGCATCTCTTAAAAATCGCTAGAAATGTACGTAAAGATTTATATGTTGTAGCAGAATTGTTTACTGGAAATGAACATTTGGATAATATTTTTGTTAATCGTTTAGGAATAAGTTCTTTAATTAGAGGTTTTTTTTGAAAAAAAATTTTTAACTTAATTTTTTTGAAATTTTTAGAAGCTCAAAACGCTCATAACTGTCATGAACAAGGTTATTTTAATTTTTAAAATTAAAAAAATTTTCTTCTAACTTTAAGGCAGATTTGTTTATCGTTATGGAGGAGATCCTGTTGGGGCGTTCCATCCAAAATCTGTTCGTCCTGCCCCATGGGATGTAGCCCATGCATTGTTTTATGATCAAACACATGATAATCCGTCACCGATACAGGTTTTATTTATTAAAAAATTTTTCAAAAATTTAAAAAAATTTTTAATTTAAAGAAACGTACAGTTTATGATTCCCTTCCAACAGCAGCAATGTGTGCAGCTACTTGTTGTGCTACTGGAACAGTTAGAGGATATGATGAATTTTATCCAAAACATATTGATGTTGTTAACGAAACTAGACTATATCGTAAATGGACAGAAAATAATTTTGACGAAGCTATGTTTAAGGCTAGAAGAATTATTAATGGTTTGCTGTTTATTTTATAGAATTTGGGTCTTGGGGGTTCTTCCTTTACAAGTCCAGCCTATTCTTAAGACGGTGGTGTAGTCGGTAAATTCTAGGTTAGGACAAATTGGAGGTCGTGGGTTCGAATCCTTTCAGAGAAAATCAATTTATTTTCGATTGGTATGAGATCCTTTTTTAATTTTTAATGAAAACCTAGCTCACATTTTTCAAAAAATTTTTTTACGATTTACTTAAAAAATAATTTTTTTTAATTTTTTTAGAGCTTCACTATAGCCTTTGGAATGATGGATATACTCAAGTTTATTCTAATTTTTAAATTTTTTTTTCTTAATTTCAATTTCAGACTTTTGTTGATCAAATAAATGAAGATATTACAGCTATAACCCGTCACAATCCAACAAATAATGAATCAATTTTGTTAATAGCTAATACTTGTTTTTCAACATTTAAATGGACTCCTACAAATTACAAAGCAATTCTAATCGATGGAAAAATTGAAAAAATATTATTTGAACTTAAAACTGTTGAAAAAGTAAATTTTTTTATTTTTTAAAAATTTCAAAAAAAATTTAATTTTTTGGGACATTTTATCCAAAAATTCCGAAAATGGCGACATTTCTTCCAAAAATAATTTATTAACTGGCTTACCCAATTTTGTTGTTGAATGCTATGAAAATGTTGAATTTAATGCTTCTGATGCAATTGAAATAAATTTAAATGAAGATGGCAAGCAATATATTAATTTTAAATTGTTTACGTCGGGTTCTGTTGTTGTTTTAAAGTTTGTTTGTTTTTTTTATTTTATTTGTTTTATAATTTCCGGAAAATTAGAGTTATATATTTATATATTTCCAGAAGAATTATAATTTATATTTTCCTGAAAAAGTTTATTTAATAATTTCCGGAAAGATTATAGTTAATTTTTATATTTTTCCGGAAAATCTATAGTTAGGTATTTTATATTTTCCGGAAGGTTTATTTTTTCCGGAAAAGTTTTATGTTTTTATATTTTCCGGAGAACATTTTATTAGATATTATATATTTTTCCGGAAAAGTTTTATGTTTTTATATTTTCCGGAGAACATTTTATTAGATATTATATATTTTTCCGGAAAAGTTTTATGTTTTTATATTTTCCGGAGAACATTTTATTAGATATTATATATTTTTCCGGAAAAGTTTTATGTTTTTATATTTTCCGGAGAACATTTTACTAAATATTATATAATTTTCTGGAAAATCTATAGTTACTTTATATTTTCCGGTTAGATTGTATTTTGTATTTTCCGGAACGTTTATATATTTTTCCGGAAAAGTTATTTGTATTTTTCTGAAGGGATTATAATTTTATAGGTTCCGGAAAAGGTTATATTTTTATATTTTCCGGAAAACATTTTACTAAATATTATTCATTTTTTCCTGAATGTTTATTTAATTAAATAATTTTCTTTTTATTTAAAAAAATAGAATTAATCCAACCGAGAGTACTAGAAATGGATGCAAACTTATTAAAGATATAATTGAGAATAATTCTCTAATTGAAGGTTTCTTTATTTTTTTAATTTTAATTTTATTTTTTTCAATAGAAACAACCAAATTACTCAATTCTTTAACCCTTTATGATTTTAATTTTTTACTCTTTCGATGTGAATCTGAAGAATTGTCAACTTTGTCTACTGGATCATACCAAATCCCTAATTTTGGAAAATTACCTTATTGTGGTTTTATGGGTATACGTCAATTACTTGTAAATATTCAAGCAAGTCATGATCTTGGCCATCCATTTTGTGAAAATTTGAGACAGGGAACATGGCTAATTGGTAAATAATTTTTATATTTTAAAGGGTGTATTATTGGAATAGAAAAATATTTTTTTGAAATGGGAATATTCAAAAAAATATTTTTTTTAATTTCTTAATCTTTTAGTAGTCATTTAAAAAATGTTGACCACCAAGCGGGGTCGAACCCATGACCCCCTCCCCCTGTGACTTTTTTTGATTTTCTTGGTTATTTTGCAAGGGTTTATAATTGGAATAAAAAATATTTTGATTTTTTAAAATATTCAGAAAAATATTTTTTAAATTAAAGAATATTCAATCAACCGCCTTAAACGTTTCTCACCAACACTTGAAAAATTTGCCATACTTCTGGAACATGCATTTAATTCACTTAAAAATTTTCCTCATCATTTGCGGCCTTGTTATTTTGAGATGATTTTTACTTATTTTTATGTGGCTATTGAACGTGTATTTTTAGAAAAAATTTTGTAAGAAAATTTATTTATTTTTTAAATTATGGGAATTTTATTTAAATGTTTTCTGACCGGAAATTATTCTTTCTGGAAAGAGTATTCTTTCAGAAATATTTACTTTTTGGGAAATATTTTTATTTCTCCGGAATGTTTATTTGTGGTTTCCGGTAATATTTTATTCTTCCTGAAATGTTCATTTATTCTTTCCGGAAAATTTATTCACCGTGAAATTTTATTTTTCTGGAAAAGTTCTATTTTTTTGAAATATCTATTTATCTTTCCGGAAAGGTTTGGGGGGAATTTTGGTCTAGAAAATTTTTTTCTCTAACTTCTCTATTATACTCTCTCTATTTTCAGTTCACAATCTCCAACTCTTCCACGTATCCGTATTACTGAACTTTTATGTATTGCTTCAAATGCTTTTGTTGCCCATATTCCAAATGCATTATTACCACCATTAGCTAATAACAAGGATAATAAAATTTCTCTTTCTGCCGGGCTTCCTCATTTTGCTGAAGGAATTTGGCGTAATTGGGGACGTGATACTTTTATTGCTTTACCTGGAATTTTTCTTTTAACTGGACGTTTTGATGAAGCTAAAAATTGTATTTTGGGATATGCTGGAACTCTTAGACATGGACTTATTCCAAATTTGTTGGCAGAAGGAAAGTCGCCTAGATACAATTGTCGTGATGCTGTTTGGTTTTGGATGGTTGCTATTATTAGATATATTGAAACGGTTTGTTTTTATTTTTTATTTGATGTTTTTTTAATTTTAAAAATTAATTAGTCTAAATTTTGTAAAAAGAGACTAAAATAAAAAAGTTTTCCCTCGAAAGGGTTCGAACCCACGACCTTCTGATGACCTTAACCTAGACATTTCCAACTACACCATAAATTTAAAAATTTAATTTTTTAAGTCAAATTTTAATTAAAAATTAAAAGAGAGTTCATATGAAACAAAATTAAAAAAGTTTCCCTCGAAAGGGTTCGAACCCACGACCCCCTGACGACAACCAAGACTTTTCCGACTACACCACAAATGTAAAAAATTTAATTTTAAGGCCAAATTTTATTTAAAAATTAAAAGAGAGTTCATATGAAACAAAATTAAAAAAGTTTCCCTCGAAAGGGTTCGAACCCACGACCTCCTAATAAGCCTAACCTAAACCTATCCGACTACACCACGCAATTAAATTAATTAAAAAATTTTTAAAAAGGCCCCCGATGGATTTAAAATTCTGCAAGAACCAGTACTTCGTTTATATCCAACAGATGATTCAACTGGAGGAGATTTAAAGGTTTTCTTTTTAATTTTTTCTAAATTACAGATATTTACAGACACAACCTTTACATTGTACAATTTATGAAGCCCTTTGTCGTCATTTTGAAGGTATCAATTTTCGTGAAAGGAATGCTGGACATCAAATTGATGAACATATGAGAGATGAAGGTTTGTAAATTTTTTTCTTTTTAAAATTTGGTTTTTAATTGGGTGGGGGAGTTGTGAACTAAACTTTGCCACCTAATTTAAGATACACCTTTTGGACAATAACAGACATCCCCCGATATTAACTACACCTATATTTAAGGGACGTTTTTTTAATCTGGTTGGCCACTGGTACCTTATTATAAGGGACCTTTTTTAGTTCCATAGGTGTTTCTTATAGTGGTTTTCTTTTATTTTAAAAAATTTATTTTCCAGGATTTAATGTCCAAGCTTATATTTGCCCCAAAACTGGTTTAATATTTGGTGGAAATCGTTGGAATTGTGGTACTTGGATGGATAAAATGGGCAGTTCATCAAATGGAGGAAATAAAGGAGAACCAGCTACACCGCGTGATGGGGCTGCTGTTGAATTACAAGGATTGGCATTTTGTGTGGCTAAAGCTTTGGATAAATATTCAAATGAGGGAATATTTCCTTACAAAGAATTAAAAAATGGTTTGAGAATTTTATTTTTAAATTAATAAAATCGATTTTCTTTAAAAATTAAACGAAATTAAAAAAAGATTCCTCTGAAAGGGTTCTAACCCTTGACCCCCACAGTTAGTCTAACCTAGACTTTTCCAACTACACCACTAATATTTCGCTCATTTTTTTCTTGTATTTTTCCGGAAGGTAATTTTATTCTTCTTTATTTTTCGGAAAATTATCCTGAAAACTTATTATTATTTTTCTTAAGTTATTTTTATTTTTTAATTTAACTTTCCGGAAAAAGTTTATTTTCCGGAAATGTTTTATTTTTAATCAAAATTAATTTTGTTATTTTTTTCAGATTCCCTTGGAATTTCATTATCTTGGTCTGACTGGGCCTCAAAAATTCAAAAATCATTTTTGGAATATTTTTATATTCCAGAAACGTGTACAGATAAATTTGTGAATCGTAAAGGAATTATAAAAGATTCTTTTAAAAGTTCACTAGGCTATACTGATTATCAATTGAGGCCTAATTTTTGTATTGCCCTTGATGTGGTGAGTAGGGAAATAAATTTTTTCAATTAAAAATTTTTTTATTAATCAGGCACCGGATTTAATCGACCCAAATCTTGCTTGGAATGCTTTAGAATGTGCTGGCAATATTTTGGCATTAAACGCGCCTTTGGGTATCTGCACACTGGATCCGGAAGACTGGGCATATAATGGATATTATAATAATTCTGATGATGGAACTAATAAAGTGACAGCAAAAGGGTGGAATTATCATCAAGGACCGGTTTGGATTTTTAAAATTATTTGTTAAATTATTTTTTGTTTAAAAGAGCTCATAGCAATTTAAAAATTAAATAATTTCCCCGAAAGGATTCGAACCCACGACCCCCAATTTGCCTAAACCTGGAATTATCCGACTACACCACCAATTTAAAAAATTGGGCCTACTTTCAAATTTCAATCTAAAATTAAAAGGGAGATCATAACAGTCAAGAATAAAATGATTTCTTTCGAAAGGGTTCGAACCCACGACCTTATATTATCATAACCTAGACTTTTCCAACTACACCACAAAAATAAAAAAAAATTTTAATTAAAAAGGAATGGCTTTGGGTAGCTTGTGCCTATATGAGTGCCAAATTAAAAATAACTTCATTACTCTACAAAAATGGCAGAAAATTAGAATGGCAACAAACTTTGGATGAAATTCGTTGTAGATTATATCGCTATGAAAAAATTTTGACAAATGGAGAATGGGCATCTTTGCCTGAATTAACTAATGCTAAAGGAGAAAAATGTGGAGACTCGTGTCCTGCACAAGCTTGGTCCGTTGGATATGCATTGGATGTTATTGAAACTATGAGAAAATGTCAGGAGGAAGTAGGGATAGTAGACTAGTTAGTTAATTTTAGGAGGAAAATTCTGTAGAGTCAGTCAAGGGCGTATCAGGGAGTTAAGGAAATCTTCATTCGGAATGCTTTAGGTTTGGCACATGTCCTTCCATTTTAGCCCTTCCGAAAATCCATCCCTTGGATACGCCCTTGCAGTCAGACCTCAGTTCTTGATAATTTTTGGGCTTCAATAATTGTAGCTTATAATGAGTTGTCCTTGATTGAGGGATATCCATTAATTAATGTTCATTTTGGCTTAGCTCTTTTCACTGGGCATTAACTAATGCTAAAGGGCAACCTAATATTTAAAAATAAAGGCATCTTAGGTATCTATAATTGAGGTTTGACGTTAGTTTAAATTTTTTAGTAATGTTTGCGTACCACAGTTTCGGCCCGCAAACTTTTTTCACTTTTATTATTCTAATCATCTACTATATACTTAAATTTTTTTGTATTAATTAATGTTTATTTCTAAATTCTTGCTCAATTTTCTATGTGTCATATAAATTTTTTGGTACTTTTAATGCATGTAATTGAAGAAAAATCTAAAGAGGGAGAGGATATCATTTAGTATGGAGAATTTCTAATTTTTGTTTAGCTGGAAAGCTTATGATGAACGTGGGGTATTTTAAATTAGAGATCGAACATACCGTATTACGTATTTTTCGGTTATTCCTTATCGGTAGTTTCAATCTCTATTTTAAATACAGTCGGTCAATTAATAATACATAATCATACAAAATAACTTTGAGTATTATTAACCGGTTAATTAACGAGAAAAAAGTAAACGAAAGGTCCTCCTTCCGTTAACAATTTCTGACCTAAATTTTATTTACGTCTCCATATTTCTCTATTTTATTTCCAAATAATATTAAAAATTCCACCTCTTATTGATACACAATATGCTTGTTAAAGTTCTATTAATTATTTTCGTCGTTACAAATTTTAATAAAAATGTCGGATTGAGCCTTGACGGTAAACTTTTAAATATAAAATGGAATTTCTATTCTTAAGACCGGGTTTTTCGATGTAAGTAGAAAGATATGTGGGAGGAGATGTCTTATAGGATTTATTTAAGCCGTGGTGTAGTGGTTAACACCCCCGACTTGCAGTTAACGGAGACCCAGGTTCGATGCCTGATGGCAGTTTTTGACTGCTTTAGTGCAGTACATCCTAGAGATGGGCAAGATCATGATCCCCTACGAGATTTTGGGGGATCCTATCTCGAAATCCCGTGTTTTAATCGACAAACTCGAGCCTATCTTACCTACTTTAATTCAGAAAATACAACAAACGCCTCAACAAATACTTATTTTAAATATACTATTATTCAAACAAACGATATTTCTTCAACAAAAACCCCACTAAACTACACTGAAATTTACGAAAAAATTTTAAACGAAATTTCGGCTTACTGTATATCAGACAACCAATATGAAGAATTATATTCTAATAAATTAAGGGCTGGACTAGTCTCTTTATTTTACCATTTGTTATTACATAATTCTATTAAACAAATTGGACTAAACGAATTTCGGGATTGTCTCAAGTTAAAAAAACAAAAAATAAATTCAATTGGGATTGTTAAGGAAGAATTTGAAGAAGAAAACAGAACGGGTGAGGGGACGTTTTATTGTACATATAGCTGCATCAGTCTCAAGCAATATTTTGGGCCATAACTTTTTTGAATCTAAACCGATTTGACTGATTATTATATCAATCGAAAGTTCTAGAAACGAGGATTATTTTGCCTGACAGGATTTATGTGATCAGATCATTTTACTAAAAGTTACACTTGGGTAAGTGTGTGAAATCGTGATTTTTGATGCTTATTAGTCTCTAACTTTTTATAGAATGATCTGATCAACTCCATCCTGTTGGCTAAAATAATCCACACATTAAGGGCTTTCGATTGATATAATAATCATCCAAATCGGTTAAGAATCAATAAAGTTATGGCCCAAAATGTGTCTCGAGACTGAGGCTACTAGACCGAAACGTCCTTTACCGAAAATAACACAGATGTCAACAACACATTGATTCATCTACAAAATAGAGTTAGACGATACTCTTCGAGCAAAATCGGAGAACTACAAGATTCTGAAATATTTTTGCCTGAAGAGGTGTCTGTCGGCGAACAATTTTTGGACAGACATTTTCCCCAAGTCAGAAAATTGTTTAAATTGAAATTTGAAGAAATGGAGCTTGAAAAGCTGCCATTTAATAATTCAACTATAGACAAAGCATTTGAGCAACTTTGGTGGAGGTCAAGTGGTATTTATCAGGCTTTTACCAAATCAAATATGAAATCAACAAGTGTACATCCTTTCGGGCTTCATATTGCTAATTGTTCTGACCCCAATTACTTCGATGTAGAAAAGTTTCTATGAGAAAATAAACATGAGAAGAAAGAAAAATAGAGAAGGAAGACAATCTGACCATTCTGTACATATAAAAGAAAATCTTGGAGAAGAAAAAGTGGGGGCAACAAAACTAAGTTCACTTAAAATGCCTTAGGGTGAATAATTTTTAAGACTTGTCCAGAATACGCGTCACAAATAAATTTTTATGCGTCCAATGGAAACTTTACTCCCCCAGAATTATGACACCCACAGGCTATCGGACCGTAGGTCGTTCTGACACAAAGACCCGCGTACTTATCGTTATAAATTGGACGCATAAAAATTTTCTTAGGACGCGTAAAGGTTGTGAGTGGACGCGTAACTGGACAAGAGCCTTTTTAAATTGCCTGAGGGCAAATTTCTAATAAAAACAAAAAATTTTATTCTTTAAACGATTTAAATGATTTAATTTCTATGTATAAAATGAAATAATATTTAATAAAAAAGCTATAATAAATCATTTTAAGGAGTAAATAAAAATAAAATTAAATTAAAATTTTTGGTTACTAAAAAGTATCTAAAAAATAAAAGACAAAATTTAAAATGGATGGAGAAAAAATTTAAAAAATTAATTTAAAATAAACACAAGTATCTAATTTTGTGGAATCCAACCAGAATTTAATGTATTCCCTCCAGTAGAGTTTAATACCCCATAATTATTGTTGTTGGGCATAATTGCAGCAGCAGCTGACATTCCAGTCATACCGGTGGTGAAGGGGAAAGCGCTTAATTATTAGAAAAAATCAGAATTAATTTTTCAGAATTTAATCAGAATTTTTCAGAACAAAATCAGAATAGATTCTGAATTAAATCAGAATTCTTCTGAAAAATTTCAGAATTATTTTCGGAATAAAATCAGAATATTCTGAAATTTTCCCAGAATATTTCAGAAAAAATCGCAGTAAAATCAGAATTATTCCAGAATTAAATCAGAATATTCTGAAATTTTCCCAGAATATTTCAGAAAAAATCGCAGTAAAATCAGAATTATTCCAGAATTAAATCAGAATATTCTGAAATTTTCCCAGAATATTGTCAGAAAAAAATCAGAATTTTTCAGAATATTTTTCAGAATTAAAATATTTACCCAAATCCCCCGGCATAAGGGTTCGAAACAACGGCTGCTAAAGACGCAGCAGCTTGGTAAGGGTTATTAGAAGCCGAAGAAAAAAGTAAATTATTGTTTGTATTGTTTAAATTAATGTTTGTAGTTGTTGTAGAAATATTTGTTGAATTAAAATTATTATTATTTAAAGGGGTTGTAGACGAAGAAAGGACTTGTTCCTTTAAATTTTTATTTTTAAATTTAAAATTGAGGTGTTTCTGACCCTCCAAAATAACATCAAAAATAGTGGGAATGAACCCTCAACCTTTCAAATTTTTTTAGAACCCGGATATGACTGGGGAAAAGTCTATTGTGTCAAGCAAAACTCAGATAATACAGTCATTTCAAAAAGATTTTTTGGTCAAGACCAAGACTTCCCTCCAACCAAGACTGAGGAAACCTACAAGAAAAGTCCCAAGAAAAATCCTAAGAAGATTTTTAGGTGTGTAAAAGCGATATTTACGGACTGGCATTTTCGAACACCAACTAGCATTCATGTAAGCTTAGGTCAGGTGGTGCCCTAAACATGGCCCAATTTCCACTCATTTCAAATTTAATAGGAACTAATTCTAGCCACAATTATGAGTGCCAATTCCTCGAAAATACTTTTTGAACAAAACAGAGGGTATTCGAAAAATCCTCTCATAAATAGGTTATGTTCGGGCTTCGAACATAGCCACACACACACGTATCACCACAAATCCCCTTATAATTCTAAAAATCAAAACCCACATCTTCAGGACTAATACTATTATTATTCCTTCCATTATCCCCTCCTCCACAATCAGAATTTCCAGAAGGAGAAGCACCATCAACACCTCCCCCTCCACTTCCCCCATCAACACAACTACTACTTCCTTTACGTCTACGATTTTTAAAAACGGCAACTGGGCGACCTGCCCTATTGTTAGAGTCTATCATTGGTTGGACTATACGTCGACGGGCATTAATAAACCTTAAAAAATATTCATTTTTTAATTAAAAATTAGGGAAATTTTTTTGTGGATTTTATTACCCAAGATCAGCTTAGACAATAAAAAATTTTGTTGCGTAATAAATATAAAAAAAAATATAACATTTTTATATTCTTCCCCAAAAAAATATTTCCCCCCCCCCTCTCTTTCTTAAATTTTCTCGAGATAATAAAAAAGAAAATATAAATAAATATTTAGTCATCTCGAGATTATAAAAAAAATAAATATTTTTTTTTATAATTTATTACTTTCATTCACAAAAATTTTTTTTGTTTCGCATTTTGTACCTCTAAAATTCATCAAGAAATCCATCAAAAAATCCATCAAGAAATATCCCCCCCCCCCATTTTTCCCCTTAAAAAATTAACCACCAACCAATTATTAACTTGTAAAATGGTTAGCCCCGTTTCTGCTGCCAATTGACGTTTTTGTTCTTCTGCTGGATATGGATGCTAATATTATGGAAATTAAAATTAGAAACTGAAGAAAATTTAAAGGAAAAAATGTATAAAAATACAGTCAAATCTCGCTATAAGGCACCCTTGGAGCTAACAATAAAATTGCATCTTATAGTGGATATATCTTAAATTGGAAGGTATATATTGACTCCTAAAATGCCCTCCCCATCCTGTGATTACCTAAATATCTTGAAATGAGGTTTTCATTTTGATTGTAGCTTATATTGAAGTATATCTTAAATGGAGGGAGGTCTCGCTTGAACAGCTCCTCTACCCTATATCCAACCAAAAACCTTATCTTTAAACAAAGGTTTATATTTTAGATTTATCCTATAGTGAGCTCTGTGACTCTTTTAGTTTTAAGGGACCCACAAACTGTACGTAACATAGAGGTCTGACAAATACCAAAAAATACAAAACACAAAAATACAGTAATAGACAGGTCCTAAGGTCCTACTTATAAACCACACCCTTAGGCTTTAACTTATAGTGAGGTTTGCCTGTCTCTCTTAAAAGCCCCCACAAGTGTACGTAACATAGAGGTCTATACAAAACACAAAAAACACAAAACTACCACACACACCGTAATATTGTTGAAAAGCCACGCTCTAAACTTGCTTATCGCCTCTTTACTAAAAACTTTGGGGACTCTTCTTCTTCCACTTCCAATACCTCCCCCACCTCCCTCACTTTGTCCACCATCATCATAATCATCAAAATCCCCTCCAATTTCTTCGTGTTTTTGTAAACGGCGTTGGAAAGAATTTAAAAATTTTTTGGAGGGTTTCAATTCCCCTCTAGAAGCATTATTGCTGTATTCACTATCTCCAGATTCATAGTGTTGTTGGTCATCGTCATAATCACAAGTTCCGCTTAACGAAATGCCGTCTTCACCTAAAAAAAAGACAAAAAAAAACAAAGGGAAAAAAGGGAAGAAGGGGAGGTTTTATGAATCTTTGGAGTTCAATATCACTCGAACTAGCCCGAAAAGCAACGCAATCTTATGCTAATAAACTGTATAGTTAGCAAGTTCAATAGATTTGCGGATTGCTTACTCAAAGATAGGGAATAGGGCTGTCAATTCTTGGAAAGTCTTAAAATATCCGGAAACGAACACTGGAAAATCCTCAGTTTGTCGGTTCAGGTTTAAACCGAAGAACACTAATATGAAGGAATAATAAGAAGGAAACTTGGAGGAGAAATTATTTCTGTCTCAAAGAATCAAAAGACTCGCTGTCTCTTAAAGGACTCGCTGTCTCAAAAAACAAAAGATTCTCAAAAGATCTCTTAATATATTTAAAATTTCCAATTTTAGGGAAGAAAAAGTAAAAAAAGGAAAACAAAGGAGTGATAGAAGAATAATTAGGATAAAGCACAAAAAAACACACAAAAAATACAAACAAAAGCACCAATAAACAACCAACCAACAACCAAACAATCAACAGCAAGAAAAAAGCAAATAAAAAATTGTTCACCGTAACATTAAGAAAAAGCCAATGCTTCAACTTATTTGTAGCATTTTTAGGGAAACATCCACGCTTTTTATTTCCAATAATATTATTGCTATAATAACTGGTATAGGAAGAAGATGATTGATTAAGCGATGTATTAATTTGATTATTAGATGATGATGAGGAGGAAGAACAACTTCGATTGTTGGATATTGAGGAGTACATTGAAGAGTGTTGGATGTGTTCTTCGTGGAAGAGAAGAAGAGCTTCTTCGTCTTCCTTTCCTCCCTCATATTCCTCCTCTTCCCCCTCTTCTTCCCCTTCCTCGTCTTCTTCCTCATCCTTTCCTTCCGACTCTTCCCCATTCACATCCTTTTCATCCTTCCTCTTCTTCTTCCTCTTCATTTCCCCCTCTTCTTCAGTCTCATCCCGTTCTTCTTCACTCTTCTTCCATTCTTCTTCCCTCTCTTCCCCCTCTTCCCTTTCTTCTTCATCTTCCCCCTCTTCTTCTTCCCCATTCTCTCCATAATCTTCTTCTTCTTCATCATTCCAACAACAAAATCCATCTTCATCTTCCCCATTATAAAACCCTTCCCAATAATTATTGTTCTGCTCAAAAATAAATTCTTGGCGTTCTGTCTCTTTTTTAAAATTTGAAGGATTTTCTAAATTTAAGCAACTCTTTTCTTCTTTAAATTCTTCTTTAACTTCCTCCTCTTCTTTAGTCTTCCTCTTCTTTCTACCAATTTTCTTCATCTTCCCCTCCTCCTCTTCATTATTATTTTCCCCCTCCTTCCCCTTTCGTTTCCTTTCCTTTTTATTATTCAAATCATTTTTATTATTCATTATAGCTTTGTCAAGATTAAGAGAAGACACTGTAGAAAGCAATTCTAAAAAAACAATAAAAGCAAAGCGAATATACAAAAATTACAAAAAATATTTTAGATACCTCCTAAAAAAATTTTTTCCTTAATTTTTAGAAAAGCAAAAAAGCAAGCAAAAAGCAAGTTAAAATTAAGAATAGAGATCGAGCTGAAACTGGACCAGAGCCTGAGGTTTTCCTGTACCCAAAGTCCAAGCCTAGGCATTTTTCGACCTTCCTGGGTTTTTCCTGGACTAGATTTTTGAATATACTATAGGCCCAGGATCCGGCCCAGGTCAATAAATCAAACCCAGAACTCAGAAACAGGCCCAGGCTTTTCAAAAATCTCGAAATCTCGATCTCTAATTAAGAGCAAAGCAGAAGCAAAGCTAAAATTAAAAGCGAAGCAAAAAAAAATAAGGACTAGAGTGTGTGTGAATTATAAAAATAAAATTGAAAAATAAGAAGATATTTAAAAATATAAGAGAAAAAAAAAGTAAATTAAATTTTTATTTATTCATGCAGAAAAAATTAGTAAATAATATATAAGCTTTTCCAAAATTAATTTTGAAAAATAAAAAGAAGAAAAATAAATTAAAGTCGCTTATTTATAAAGAAGAAAATTAATTTTTCTGGTTTTGACAGAAAAATATAAAAAAAATATTTTTAATGATAAATTTGGTTTTAAATATAAAAAAAAATTATTTTTTGAAATAAAAATTGCCAGGGAGAGGAGGGGGGAGGGAGAAGTTATGATGTCGCGCGAATTAAAACTGACATTTAGGCAATACCTAAATTCATTAAAATTTTCGTTTTCTAACTGAACAATTGAATATTTTATAAAAAACGGCCCTCTGTCAAGTAGGGGTGTTGGGGGTTAGAGAAAATATTTTTATGGTACTAATAAATTTATAGGAAAGAAGAGATAATTTAATTGTTTTTAATTTTATTATTATTTTTTGTTTAGATAAGGCCAACAACAACCACCAAAAATAACTCTTCACTTTTCTCCCTAAAAAATTGTCCTTAATTTTTATTTAAACCAGAAGTCAGAAAAACTCCTTTTTCCAACTTGGTGTCAAGTTGTAAAAAAATATTTTTTAGCCAAGTTTTTATTTTTATTATTTTCCTAATAAATAAAAAAATACATATGGAGTAAAAAAAATTTTTTTTCTTAATATTTCTTAAAATGTAATAAATTATTATGGCGCGAGCCAAAGTGTCTAAAAAACTATTAAAAAATATCCTCACATTTAAATAAAAAAAATAAAAAAATTTGGGATAAAATGGCATTTTCCAGAAAAAAGAATTTTTAAATTTATTTTTAATTTTATTTTTAAAAAAATTATATAAAAATACAAAAATAAATTTCAATTAAAAAAATTGGAAAAAACTCTTCCAAAAAATATATCAATTTTAATTAACTGGCCTTTATCTCTCTCTCATCTAGAGGTTGTTGGGCTTCTTATCTAAACAAAAAAAACACGAGTAAGAAAATAAGGCAAAAAAATGTTTAAAAAATTGCCGAAAAATATCAAAAAAATTAAAAAAAATAGTTAATAAGGATAAAATATGTAAAAAATTTTCAAATAGCCAACGTATGAGAGAAAGTGAGAGAAAAGATGGTATCAAGAATTAGTCGAAATTTCGCGTTTTTAGTCTCAATTTCGAAAAAAGAAAATACAATAGAACCTTACTTATTTTAATTAAGATAAAAAGAAAAGACGTTAGACGTTATCGTATACATTAAAAAGAATTTTTGTATGGTTAAAGCAGGGTAGCAAAACTTAACCATTCAAGAAGGTTGGGAGTGTGGGAGGAACAGGGTTTGTCGGAGTAGAGCCTTCGGGGGATTTGAAAATCGGGGTTCATTCGCGTCCTCGGGATTACCCAAATAAAAAAATGTTATTGAGAGATGTTATTGAGAAAAAATGTTATTTATCTAATTTTTTTCTAAATTTACCTCCATTTTCATCCAAACAATCCCCTCCACCAACTAATTGTTGTTGCTGCTTATAACCCCCATCATTAATTATTCCCCCTTCTTTACCAACCCCTTCATTTTTAGTCATTTTTAAATTATTATTATTAAATTTTAAATCTTCATTATTATTTTGAGCATTTAATATAGTTGTAGTTGTATCTGGACTTTGATTTATTTTTACATCTTTTTCAATTTTATTTGGTGGAGGAGGAAAGGTTGAAGTTGGGGTAATTGATGAGGATTTTTTTGGTCTTTTTGCACTGAGAAAAAAAATTTTTTTAAGCAATTAATTGGTTTATTAAAAACAGTGAATATAGAGAATTATAATTTAAATTCACTTCTAATAGTAAGGACAAAAAATCTGGCACTCCAATTATAAGGACACTTCTACATCCTTCCTTGTGCATTACCCAAGGCTCAACTTTCGACCACAACTTTATCAATTCTTAACCGATTTAAGCAAATCATATACCTATCTAAAGCTCTAAATATACCGATTATTATTTCCTAAAGGATCAATATGATCAAACCATCACATAAAAAGTTGGAGCACGAAAACTGCGAGAAATCGTGATTTTTGGTAGTTGTCTGGCTGTAACTTTTAGTAAAATGATCTGATTAGAACAATCTTCTAGGGAAAATAATATAGAATTTAAAGAGCTTTCGATTGATATAATAATTGTTCAAATCGGTTAAGAACAAAAAAAGTTATAGCACAAAATATAGACTGGGGACCAGATGTCGCACCTACCCAAATTTCTTTTATCTTCTACTGGTCTCTTGATAGTTACTAAAAATTAACACAAATCTCACTATAAGGTACCCATTTATGGCTAGAGTTTGTAACTTATAATAGTGGCAGCTTAAATAGAAAGTATATCGCTTAGAAGCCCCTCACCACCTCACACCCTCAGGCTAACCAAGGCCAACTGGGAAGGGAGTGGAGGAGGTATTATACTTCTACTACCTTCTAGGAGCATCACAAACATCCTGTTGTTGTTGTTGTCCACTTAATAATAAAGTTTGTTGTTGCCCCTCAACAAGATTACTATTATTTAATAAATGGTGAGGTTGGTGCCCCCCTAAATTATTTAAATAATTCTGTTGGTAAAATAATTGTTGTTGTTGTTGTAAAAGTGATGAAGGATTGTTAATTATATCAATACCATTAAATACTCCAAAATGTTGTTGTTGGGAGGATGATGAGGAACATGAAGGCAATTGTTGCTAGAAAAAATATTAGAAAATAATTATTTAGTTAATTAACCGGAAAGGACAATTCACCGAAAAAATTCTAGTTACGGTGGGGATGATACACCGAAAAGACAATTCACCGAAAATTCATTTTTGGGGCAAAAATGATTAAAAAATAATTTTAAAAAATTTTAAAAAATAGTACAATAAAAGAAATGAAAATTTTCTTCTTTTTTTCTTTTATGAATTATCTTTGGTCCAATTTCAAAAATAATTCTTGTCCCAAAAATAAATAAAAAAAATTTCGGTGAATTGTATGTTTCGGTGAATTGTATGTTTCAGTGAATTGCATGTTTCGGTGAATTGCCCCCAAAAAATATTTTTTAAAAAATACAGTAATTATTTACACAATATATATAATTAGCTTATTTTTAATGACTTTTTACGGTTTATTACCTTCTTTTTTATTTTTCAAAAAAAAATCGCCGATCCTTCCCTTTTTGTTCCGGTCATTTTGCGGTTATATATTTTTACGAGGGGATTATTTATTATTTAAAAAAGAGATCCGCTTTATTTTACCGGAAAAAATTGTTGTTGTTGGTTTTCCCGCATAGAATAATTATTTTTTTGTTGGACCTCATTATATACACTATTGGAATTAAAAAAATATTTAATTTTAGTAGATAGAGAGATTATCGGTTAGGTACCGAGAGTGTGCCGTTTCGACTATCGTCACTCGTCTAAGTTTCGCCTTTTCGGAGTTTCGCTTTTTAAATTGATTTCGTCTTTCGCTTTTGAAAATCTATTTAGACACTCACTCGTGTTAGGTTCCTCAATGTATTACCTATTTTTACCTCAAAATATGTATATTTTCGGTGAATTGTCCTTTCGGTGAATTACCCCACAAGAATACAAAATTTTTCGGTAAATTGTCTAATTAGTAATAAAACCCCTAATAATTTAAATTATTTTTAATTTTCTCAAAAAAACTCACAAATTGTTTATGGTCAATATTATGTAAATATTGTTGTTGGTGTTGTATATCCCCCATATTATTAGAAGAAAAATTTGAGGGGGGTTGTTCTAGGGAAGACGAAGTGCCCGGGGATTGATTTGAACCCCCTCCAGCCCTATTAGCTCGATGATGTTGATGGCTATTGCTTCGTCTTTGGTGCTCCAACTTGAAAAAAATTTCAAAAAAAAATTTTTGAAATTTTAAAAAAAAATTTTTTCTCCCCCCTCACACTCACCATTCCAGGCGGTCCAGCAGACGGGGGTTGTTGTGGCTGCTCACCAGCTATAATATCCATTTGTGTTCTATCTTTGATTTTGTTGACATATTTGGCACAAAAGTTGTCACACAATTCGTGGACCTAAAAAGACAGGAAAATGTCAAAATGTCGAATTGACATTTTAAAAAGTTGACATTTTGAAATTTTACACATTTTCCTTCGCCTAGTAAGTCAAAATGTCAAATGGACATTTTGAAATTATGACATTTCGAAAAGTTGACATTTTGAAATTTTCCCGAAAAGACATTTTATTTAAGTTGGCGCTTAAAAACCCTTTTTCTTTCTCTCAATATTTTTTTTTCAAAAAAATTTTTTCCTTGAAACTCTCTGCTGGAGATGAGAATATATTTACATAAATTTAATTTTTAATTGAAAAACAATAAAAAAAAAGAAGACAGTAATAAACGGGGTTGATTTTTAATGAGGAAAAAAAATTCAAAATTTTAAAAAAAGCTTTGATTGTTTTAAATATACCCCTACCTTTTCCAATTCTAACAAATGAAAACGAAGAACTTGAATAGCATTAAGCATCTGGAAATTATTTAAAAAATAATTTTTTTTCTTTGGGTAACTTTAGCGTTTAGAGACAGAAAGTGTCTCCCCCAATTCCTCGTCAAAAAAATCTAAGAGGATATAAAGCCAAAAACAGGTGGACTACACTCTTATAGATATCCTCACAAGGTATTGAAAAAAAACAAATCAATGAGGTGAGGCTACAAACCTAGGTGAGATTTGTATTAATTAAATTTGACTTTAACCCCGTCAATAAACTTGAGAAAAATCCTACCACCTCGAACTTTTCGTCCTGAAAGGGTCGGGATCCAATCCCCAGTTTAAATTTTCAAAATTTACCAAAGAATCAAGTTCAGGATTGGGCACATAAAAAGGTTTATTCATTTGTACAGTAGCAGCAAATTCAGCAATATCTTCACTAAAAGAACCGGCAGAACAAACATTTAAAATGTCAACTTGATCTCCCCCAACTGCGCCAAATTCATTTGTCCGTACAGGTTCTCGAGGTGTACATGTTGCTAATTCACATTTTTCGAATAAAACGGTTAAAAGAGGAAAGAGTGGATGGCTGAAATAAAGTTTGAAAATTAAAAAATTTTTTTATTTCGTGTTTCGTATTTCGAGTTTCGCAATTTGAGTTTCGTGTTACGAGTTTAGTATTTAATATTTCGTGTTTCGTATTTAGCATGTAATATTTGTGTTTCGTTTTTATAGTTTAACATTTCGAGTTTTATATTTCGTGTTTCGCATTTCGAGTTTCGTATTTCGAGTTTGCAATTTGAGTTTCGTTTCGAGTTCTAATATTTTTGTTTCGTATTTAGCATGTAATATTGTGTGTGTCGTATTTCTAGCTTTACATTTCGCTTTTTAAATTTCGGTTTCGCATTTCGAGTTTCGCTTCGTATTTCGAATTATTTTTCAAAATCTCATTTTTTCGAAATCTCATGTTTACCTCCCATTAATCTTCCAAAAAATCTCAATTTAAACCCTCACCTATAAATTAAGTCTTTCTTTTGTTTAAGCTGGTTTGAGTCAATCTGTTCTCCACCTCCATTTCCACCCAATAACGACCCCATTTCTGCATGATAACCACTACCACCACTTCCTCCACCCCCACCAGCTGCAGCAGCAAAAAATCCCAAAGAAGAAAGTTGTTGAGGGTCTGGAGGATGATGCCCAGTTGGTGTATGAGGTGGAATGATGCCATAAAGATGATGAGGTGATTCTCCTAACCCTGAGGGCAAATTGTAATTTAAGGCTGCTGCGTTTGAAGAAGAATGGTTGTTTGAGGAGGGGGTAGTAGTTGAATTGGTGTTGTTGTCGGCATACTATAAAAATAAATAAAAAATAAATTGGGAGGTTTTTAAAAGAAGAAAACAAATAAAATTAAAATTTATTTGATTTTAATTGTTGCAAAAAGACATTTCATCCCATAAATTAAAAAATGAGACATTTCATCCCAATTACGTATTTTCTCCTCTAATTATTTTTCAAAATTAAACAGGTTTTCCTCAACTTATTGAAACTTAATTAGAGGCATAGGATTGTAATAATTGACCATTTTGTACTTTGACCATTATATAATTTTCTCGTTTTATAATCTGACCCTTTTGTAATTTGGCCTTTCGTTCCTTATTTTTTAAAAAAATTTTGGCTAATAAAAATATACAGTATTCCAAAAGGGCTAGAATTAGGGCTAGACTTAGGGCTAGAAAAATTTTAAAAAATTTTTGAAAAATCTCCAAAGACCCCTAACCACCCCAAATCTACTCCTCTCCTATTTAGTCCACTAAAAAAAATTCACAACATTATGCCAATAAATTTTACAAACCAAAAATTTACCAAATTTATAGCCTAGAATCTCCCCTATTTTTCAACATAAAATTAACTTTTCTAACCCTATTAATTACAAAGTTATAGAGTCAAAAACAACTCCAAGTTGCTAATTTATTTTTTTATTTTTTTCGTCGGCTTTTTTTCTTTTTTTTTCCATAAATTTTAAAAACAAATAATTTTTTTCTAAAAATTTTGCGCTCCTCGTTATTCTCCTTTTTTTATTTTAATGGGACAACAAGGAGAACATGCAAATTTTGTTGGTAGCAAAATTAAAAAAGAGAGGAACGGTTGGTTGTCGGGGGAGACAGTTAAAGAGAGGGGGGCAGCAGTTGTGGTTCCAAGGACACAAAATAAAAATAAAATGTTTTGATGACTTACAGAAGATGTTAGAAAAAAAATATACTTTTTAAGAAGAAAGATGAATGAGCGGTATAATGAAAAAAAAAGAAGAAAAAAATAGGGGGAGGGGGGGGGGATCAAGTCTCTCTTCTCTCCCCCTACTCACTGTATATATTTATTTATAAACAACAAAAGAAAGAAAGATTATGTAGATTAATGAATGGATATATTTTATGGATATTTAAATTTAAATAAAGGAATATTTAAATATTTTTGTTGCTGAAGAAAAAAATTTTTTTAAAGAAATAAATTAAAAAATAATTTTCGGTGAAATGCCCCCTGTAGAAATGCCCCTATAAAATCCAAAAATCCTGAATCTGGATTCTGGATTTGGGTTAGTAACCTGGACAGGATTCTTGATCTGGATCCAGAAAAAATCAAGAACGATAAAAAAAATGCCTGTATTTGAACTCTGGATCCAGAAAAAATCAAAGACTGGATCCAGATCAGACCTACTATCTCTAGCCATCTCATCTCTCTTCCATTTTCCTCCACACTTTAAATTTTAAAAATTGAAAAAAATTTTTTTTCTAAAATTTAATTTCCCCCCCTCTTAATTTTATTTTTCTATAAAATCTGTCTCAATTTTCAATCCCATTAAAACTATTAAAAAAGAGACAGAAAATGAAAAGATTAAATAAGCATCAAAAGCAAAAGCCTTTTAAAATTAATTATCTTTCTCCTTCTATCCTGAAACAAAAATTTAATTTTCTATTTATTTCTAGGATAGAAAAATTCTATTTTTTTTTCAATTTTAATTTGTCTTGACATTATTTTAGTAAAATTAAAAGAAAAAATTTTTTCTTGATTGGGGAAGGGTGTGACTGGAACACAAAGATAATTTTGTGAAAAAAGTTTGAAAGGTCACTGGGTCAGCTTTCTTACTTTTTTCCTAATTCCGGATATTCGGATCAGCTAATTTTCCGAAAGTCTTAATTAAAAATACAGACAATAAATACCCATTTGAAGCAAATTTTTTAATTAAAAAAAATTTTTTACCTCCCTTAATTTTTTTCTTTCTCAGAGCTCTCCCATTTTTCATTGTTTTTCTTCCCCTCTTCCCTTCCTTTTTTTCTTAAATTTTTTAAACTTTCCCTCTTCCCCCTTCTTCTCAAATCCTCTTCTTTTACACTTCTTTTACACATTCTTCTTTCCCTTCTTTTCATTCCAACCCCCCAAAAATCCAAAAACAAAAAATCCGAAAAGCGCAACAGCTGGCCATTTATCTAGTATAATATCCCTCCTTCCCTTTCCCTTAAAAATCCAAACAATTGGGAAAGAAAAAAAATAAAATTAAGAAAGAAAAGGATATAATAGCTTCAAGTTTAAGAGGTGTGTGTGTGTAAAAATTAGGTTAAAGATTCTTTCTACTTTCCTCCTCTTATTTAAAACAAAAATTCTTTAATTTTATAAAGTGCAAAAATAAAATTAAAGATTAAAAAAAATTCAAAACGAGAGAAAGAAGGCAGACAATAGGGGGAGGGTGTAACCCGGAGTGCAGCTCGTGCCACAAAATACGAGACACAAGAGATGCACTTCTGAGAGACCGAGACGAGCTACACCCCTGGTATGTACTTCAAGGTCCCCTTAAGCTATAACTTGGAATGAAATTGTCGAATCCGGGACCTTTTGGTATTATTCAATGTTCTAGAAGAAGGGCATCGAAGGGGTGGGGGATTAAGGGAAGGAAATTAAAGAATGAGGGCATTTCTGATTCAAAAATTTTTGAACCAAGTTTAATAGCTTGGCAGTACCTTGGGCTGGCGATATTCCTCCTTTCCAAGATTTTTTTTAATTAAGAAAAATAGGAAAAAAGTTTCTTTTTACATATTAGAGAGAGATATTAATCAGATAAAAAATAATTATATTATTTTTTTATCCTTCAAAAGAAAGTTTATTTATTTTTCTTTTTTACCGCTACCCAATTTGCGCAGCGAAAAAAAAATTTTTTTTTTCGTTTTTTGATTGAGTATTTAATAAAAATATAGAAAAATGGATATAGGATGATGATAATGAGAAAAGATTTGTAAACGAGGAAGGAAAAAAAAACTCTTTTTTTTTTTTGAAAAAAAATGATGGACGAGAAATATTTATAGTAAAGGAAGAATCCCTTCTATCCGTCTCACTTTTACCCCAAAAAAGACCTTCGGGAACGGCACAAAAAAAAATCATTTTTAAATAATTATTATTTTTTCCCTCCTTTTTATTTTCTAATTTTTACCTTTAATCTTACCTTAATTTTTAAAAAATTTAATTTAACTATTTTTTTTTCAAATTTACCCCTTGTTGTGACATTTCCTATAAAATTATCAGTATTGTTTTGTTGTTGTTGAATTTTTTTTTAAATTTTTAATTTAATAAATTGCTGATTATATTAAAAAAAATTTTTTTTTAACAACTTAACTATAAATATTAAATTAATAATGTAAGAAAAAAAATATTCAAATAAAAATTAAAAAAAAATTGAGCGCGAAATTCAAGACACTGTACTATACTATAGAAAGTTTTTTTAGTTCTCTTTCGAAAAAAAAAAGTTTTTTTTGGTTCGAAACAAAAATATTTATTGGGGTATTAAAAAAAACATTTGTGTACGTGAGTATGTTCAAAAAAAAATTTTTTTATTATTTTATGATAAAGAGGGCGAGAAAAATAAATTTATTAAAACTAATAAATTCTTCTCTCTAAATTTATTATTTTTTAATTTATTTTTAAAGAAGCTAAAAATAATAAATTAGTAAAAATAATAGAGAAAAAAGAAAGAAAAATTAAGGGCGAACAATAATAAAAAAATGATATTTTTTTAATAAGCACACTAAAAGTTGCGATAATTTTTTTATTTGAATAGCAGTTATTTTTTTAATTGTCTAGCGTTTATAAAAGCGCAACAAATATATATATTACTCTATTAAAATTAAAAAAAAAACAATTAATTGGATAAAAGGAAAAAATAAAATTAGATAGTAATATTGGAGAGATTGGACTAATTTTTGAAAAAAATCCAAAAAAATTTTTCAAAAAAAAGAAAATTAAAAAAAATTTTTTAATGATAGTTTGATAGAGCTCTTCAAGCTGAATCGAATGACACCAAAATCAACCCTATCCGACTTTAATGGACAACGTTATGAATAAAATTGTTCACATAGTTTTCTCACTTGCGTACAAGTTTGTCCTACAAAAAGTTTTATTTTTATCAGAATTTTATTTAAAATTATCGGATTAATACAAATTTTGGTGTCGTTCAATTCAGCTTGAAGAGCTCTTTAAAACAAGCATTATTTATACCCCCAAAAAATTTTTTTCCAAATATTTTTCCATATTTTTTTTTCTTATCAATCCCCCTATTTGAAACACCTCCTCCCTGTTAGAAGTGTGAGTGACATAGCAAATTTTAAAAAGCGAAATACGAAAAGCGAAAATGCGAAAGTTAATTTAAAAAGCCAAACATGAGAGTCAAAAATTTGAAAGTCCAAAAAAAGGCGAAATTTTGGCGAAAGGCTCAACTCTGGTCCCCCTGAATCGTTTTTATTTATCTTTCCCTCAACAAATTAACACCAAAAAAAACACAAAAAAAAAAACACAAAACAAACAAATCAAAAAAAAGAGATTAAAATAAAATTAATTAAAACAATATTTATTTACAATGTCAATCATCATTAAAAAAATTTTTTTTTTCTTCCAAAAAAATTTTTGAAAGAGCGGTAAAATTGATTGATTTTTTTTTTCTCCCCCCATATTTGATTGACACAAATTGATGAGGATAAGGAGGGAAGAAATTAAAATTAAATAAAATGCATGAAAATGAACAAATTAAAAATGGTTTTTAATTAAAAATTAATAAGGGAAAATTTAATAAAATTTGAAAAAAAAATTTATTTCTTAAGGGGTACCAAAAGGGTCATGTACCAAAAGGGTAAGTAATAGAAAATAATTTTTTAAAAGGGTCAACACTAAAAAAGGGTTACTGTTTGACATTATCGAAAGATCAGTCTCGAAAGAGTCAATTATTAAATATGGTTCAAAAGGGTCATTACTCAAAAGGGTAAATTCTCAGAAGGGTAAAACTGTTCAAAACGGTCATTAATCTACTTTTTTAACTATAACATGACGATGGATTTTTTAACTGAATATGACATTTATTTAAAACTTCTATCACCTTCATGCTTAATCAAAAAGCACTTATTTGTTAGATCACACATCTACTAAAGTTATTTATCAATTACAAAATCGCCAAAACAAACACACAATAATCACTCTCAATCAAATATTACCACCTAATTAATAACCGGTAAAACAATATTTCAATCAACTTTTAACAAAGCGTATCCCCCCCTTCTACTCTTCTTTTCTCTGTCAATCACCCAACACAATAATTAATTTAATAATTAATTTACTTAAAATTAATCCATCTAAAATCATAAAACAAACACACACACACACTTCATAATCATTCATTTAATTATTCATTCATATATCAATCAACAAACAAAACAATAATCAATTCATCTAATATTTCATTTAAAAACACAATAAAGTCATCTATAATCGTCAAACAAACAAAAAAAATTTTTTTCGCCTCCTAAAATTAATTTAATGGCCGTCACTCTAAATTTATTTTTTTTTTAAATCAAGACATTTATTGTCAAAAAAAATAAATAATAGCGGTAAAAATAGGAGGAGGAAAATAAATTTTTATATTAAAATATATTATAATAATATTTATTATATTTTTGCGTGAAATTAATTGCAGTTGAATGGCAGGCTCTGTTTTTCAGTTTGATTGACACTCTACTTGAGTGACGGCGGCAGCGGCGGGGAGAGGGGTAATTCTCTTCACTCTTTATTATAATAAAAATAATGCGATTCACGCAAAATTGATGTGTCTTCCGTTGATTCTAGTAAAAGGGGAAAGGGGTGGTTGGTGGAAATAAGTAATGTATCTGTTTGGACACGCCCCTTTCTTCTTTTTTAAAGAAAAAGTCAAAAAGCCTTCTTAAGCCCCGCCCACTTTTTCTCCTTCTCCTTTTAGCTCCCCTATAATCTTCCCATTTTTTCTCGCCATTTTTCTTCCACCCAACTTGGAGTAAGAGACAACTGTGGGATTACCCATACGCATTGCCAAAAGGGGCGTGGCCTATATAAAATATTTTTATCCGCTCACCCGACCGGCTCTCTTTCTTTTATGCCTGTTCCTCTCCTATTGGAGAGAAAATAAAAGAAAAGGGTGAATGATGGATGACTTTTCTTTTTTTACTTTTTTTCTTCCTTTTTCTCGTTTCTCCAAGGATATATGGAAAGGGATGGGGTAGGGGAAAGAACCGGGTGTGTAAAAAGAGGGGAGACACTTTTTAGTTAGTAAGTTGTTTGTTGGTCGTTTGGGACGAGGCAGACGATGGAAATATAGAAGGGTAATTATAAAAAGATTTTTCTTCAAAATTTTCTCTTCCTATTTTACTTCCTTTATATTTTTCTTCTTCATCCTTCCACCATCGCTGGAGACGGAAGAATAGTGGAAAGAACTCAAAGTGGGAATTGAAGAGAAGATTAGAGAAAAGGGAGGGTTGACTGTTGGATCAATTACTCAGATCACTCTTCTCAGCAATCCTCAATTAAACTCCTGCTTTTCTTCTCATTTTCTTTTTTTCATTCTTCCTTTCTCAACTTATTCCTATCATCTATTCTTTCCTCCTCATCCTCTTCCATTTCCCTTCCTCCTTCTTCCATATTTATCTTCACAATCTTCTTGTTTCAACCTCTTGCTCCTTTTCTTCCTCTTCTTCATTTCATCTTCCTTTTAAATTCTAACTATCCTTCCTCCCTATTCCCTCTCTCCCAACTAATAAAAACTCATCCATCACTTCCTCTCCAACCTCCCTTTCTTCAAAAATAAGTGACAGCTGGCGTAAAATGGTGGTGTTTTGCCCATTTTCTGGCCAGTATAAATGGTATATGCTTAGGTTTTTGAAAATGTTTTGAAGGAAAGAATGGTGTTTTTTTGTGTTTAAAAACAAGCACCGTTAAATTTTTTTCTTCCCAATAGGGGAGAGAGACTAGTCTTCCTCTCCCTCCATTTAATATAGTAATAATAAGACGCGTGACAGTCTGTAAATATATTTTTATGTTTAAGGCGCGCGCATATTTTTTTGAGTGGAAAAATAATAAAAATAGCCTCCAAAATGATTTTATATGGTTCCAGAGTGTTAAACGCTTGAGTGTTAATGTCATTAAAAACCCCCTTTTTGTCTACCTAGATATTGAACTAAGAAGATTCTCCCGCGATCATCCTCAATTCCACAACTCCAATATGTTCATACAAAAATTGAATCCCCCACAGCTTTCAAAACTTGTCGAACTCTAGGAACAAGGTTTCTCAAGTGTTACTGAACTAGAAAACTGGCATCTCTCAATACCCGTGCCGTTAAGACAATTCCTCCAGATTTTTTCCTTTAACCTCATTCTCCCCCATATCAGCTTATTAACAACCCCAAAATAACCCCCAAAATAAATAAATACGTATTTTTTTCATCTAACTCCATTTAAACCCTTCAATAATAATCTTTTTTAAATACTCGCCCAAAATTATCGCCCTTTCCAATCTTCTCTCTCTCAATTTTCAATCTCGCCAATATAAAGTGCTAAACACCCAACACCACCCCAATAATTACCTCAAACGACCATCACTTTATTTTAAAATTTTTTTTTGCTTCAGTTTCAAATTTCCATCTTTGCTTCCTCAAAATCACTTTTTTGGTTATTCAATAAAAACATTTTTTACAAATTACTACTTATTTTTTAAACTATTATGTAATTTCATGTTTTGTCTTTAATAAATTAAGGGAAAATAGCAATTTAAAAAGTGGAGCATTTTCGAGAAACATTTAAATATTAAACAAATAAAAACATGAAGCAAACCATTAATTAAAAAATAAACTTGCTTCTTTTCAAGTTTAAATATTTACAAATTGTAAATGATTCAAGTTTATTTAATTACAAATTGTAAATGCTTCAAGTTTATTTATAATAAATTGTAATTGTTTCAAGTTTTAATATTTACAAATTGTGAATGCTTCAAGTTTATTTATAATAAATTGTAATTGTTTCAAGTTTTAATATTTACAAATTGTGAATGCTTCAAGTTTATTTATTTACAATTTGTAAATGCTTAAAGTTATTTATTTAAAATTTGTAAGTACTTCAAGTTTATTTAATTACGAATTGTAAATGCTTGCAAGTTTGAATTATTTACAATTTGTAATTGCTTCAAGTTTTAATTACATTTCTATTCACTTCATTTTCAGAGAAACATTCCAAGAAACAAAAAATATATGACTCTTTTTATTACACATTTATATATTTTGCTAATAAAACAACTGTTGCATTTTTTATTTATTAGCTATTAAAAATCCCCAAAATATTTTTCTCAACAGAAAAAAATTTTTTAAATAAAATATTACACAAACATTTTTATTTTTTTAAAGATAAAAGGTGTGAAAAATTAAAAGGGAGCATCTCTTAATAAATATTATTTAAAAGATTTATTGAATAATAAAAACAAGAAGATTTATTAAATCTGTTTAGATATGCTTTGCTTTATTTAAAAAATTAGCTCTGAAGCATTAAAAAATAGCCTAGAAAAATTTATTTAAAAATAAACTTGTTTCTTTACAAATTGTAATTGTTTCAAGTTTTAATTAATTAAACTTTAATTATATTTACAAATTGTAAATGCTTCAAGTTTATTATTCACAAATTGTAATTGTTTCAAGTTTTAATTAATTAAACTTTAAATATTTACAATTTGTAATTGTTTCAAGTTTATTTAATTACAAATTGTAATCCAAGTTTAATTATATTTACAAATTGTAAATGCTTCAAGTTTTAATTCTTTTCAAGCTTATTTTTCTTTTGACACCTAAAATGAAGCATCCAAGAAACACCTGAAGCAAGCTTCAATTGCTTCAATTTCTAAATTTATTTAATTACTTCTCTCATTAAACTACCCAATATCTTCCCCCAAAAAATCATTTTTCCTTCCTTTTTTCTTCAAAAATAAAAATAAAAGTGTATATAAGAGTGTGTCAATGACGAAAAGTGTGCCCGGTCATCAATTAAATTATAAAATAGATTAAGAAAAAAAGAAAAGAGACGAAAAGTTAATCGACCGAGAGGGGAAAGAAGGGAAAGGTTTTATAATCTAAACCGATAAAAGTAAAAAAAAATATTTTTTTGTGCGCGTGAAAAATTTTTTTAATGACAAAAATTATAAAAGTGTGAAGTAGAGAGGGGTATTTATTTGCCCTTTATTTTAAAAGGTAAAAAAGGAAAAAATTAATAATCAAGTAGATTTTGATTAAATTGAAGCAAAATTAAACAAAAAAAGTAGACATTTGGTGGAATAAATCTTCAAAAAAATCTGAAGCAAAAAACTGACTGAAGCAACAGAAAAATTTGAAACAAAAACAAATGAACACAAACTGAAGCAAATCTGAAAAAAGTAGAAGCAACTTTTACAACTGAAAACTTGAAGCACCAACCAAGCTTAAACAGCTTTCAGAAATTGAAGCAAGCTTCCACAAAAATAAAATACAGTATACCAAAGCATTAAATAAAAAGCTTTTAAGGCGTTGAAGCATTATTCCGGTGTGGAAAAATTAATAGGACACCTAACGGAATCGAACCATTATCAAACAGGACACAAAATTCAAGAGCACAACCACCTACACCACACTTACAAATTAACGACTAATTAAATTATTTATCCATATTCTGTTGAAGCTTCACAGAAACAAGCCTAAACATTAAAAAATATTTTTTTTTGGGACAAAATGTCATCTTTAACAAAACTTCTTTTCTCTCCTTTTGTTTTTAAACCTTTCTTATTATTTTCCTCTTAATTTTCTTCTTAAAATTTTCAGAAAAGTGGTTGGTATAGCTTTTCTTTTCTTCCTCCTTCTTATCCAGTAAATTAATAGTTTGGAGGGGAGGCTCTAACGCCATCAGGCACATTTCGAGGGAGAAAAAGAGGAGAAGAAGGCAAATTGCCAAACAAATAAAAGGAAAAGCAAAAAATCTTTTTTCCTAAAGCTTCCAAGTCATTTGTCAAAATATTCACAAAATTGGATAGAAAAAAAAATATTTTTACTGCAAAAACATTGAGGTTTAAAAATATTGAAAAGAAAAAAAAGGGAAAGGGAAGAAAATTGTAAAAATTAAAAGATAAAAAAAAATTGTAAAATTAAAACATAAAATATTGAAAAAGCTTTAATTTTTAAATCCCCATACATTTTTAATTTACAAGAAAATTGAATAGAGACCGGAATTGAATAGAGACAAGATCTCGATCGAAAATCACGGTTATCGAGATGGAGAATTTTTCGAGATCTCGATTCTCGAACGACACTCCCAGTCCGGTCTCTATAGTACACATAGGTAAAATCATAAAACTCCAAAACTTTCAAAATGCCAATGAGACAAAATGCCACTATTCAAAAGGTCAATGGCTTAAAATGCCCAACTTGTCAATAGTAGCCCAAACGGTCACAGCCCAAATTTCTGATATCCAAAAATTACAAAAACTAAAATTCAAACAATAATGCCAAGAATCCAGCATTATACAAAATTTCAAAATCCTTTCAAAATTCCTTACAAAATCCCCATACATTTTTAATTTCAAAATCCTTTCAAAATTCCTTACAAAAATTTCCAAAAGTAAAAATCCATTTAGTATTCCTCCCCCCCTCCCTTAACCTCCCCCCCCCCCCAAAACCCTCATTTATATACCTATATATTTTTCCTTTAAAAACATTTTTTTCTTTTTTTATCCTTTTTCCTGTCCTATCCAATCAGCATGCCATCAATCATTCCCCACAAAAAGGCAGAGCCAGTCGTTGCCCCTTTCTTTCCTTTCATTTTCCCCTTCTCCTCGGCCTCTTTCCATCTGCCTTAAAGGTTTAGGCTTTCTCTCCATCCTTTTATTTTTTTTATTTTTTTCTGTCCCTAGAGGGGCAGAAGCGGTCAACCAACGTCAAAAATACCGTAATGCTTCTTTAAATATCCTTTTCTCTATTTTAAAAAATTCTCCTCTTCTCCTTCCAAATATGTCGTTTCGGCGCGGACAAAGTTTGGGCGCGCTTTTATATAATTTCAGACAGAGAAATCCCTTAGCCTTGAAATTTTGGGCATTTATTTACAACATTGTCAGCCATCTCTTCTCCAAATTTCATAATTTTTGGTTCAGTATTTCAAAAGTTGTGGTCGCAAATCTCAACTTAGTTCAATTTCTCCTTAAAGGAAAAATAGGGATAGACTTTTTTGGCCACAATTTCCTAATAATATGAACAAAATTTTTAAAATTTGTAGGGAAGTAAGCTAACACTTTTCCGAATATCCATACAAAATTTCAGAATTTAATCTTATCATTTAACAGTTTTACAAAATAAACAGTAACGTATACCTGCGCATCAAACTTTTCCCTCATACTATCTCCCTCTCTTCAGAAAAAGCTTCTTAACTTTACACCAAAATGAACAAAAATTTCAAAATTTGTAGACAAGTTAGCTAACACCTTCCAGAATATTCACACAAAAGTTAACAACTCTATCATATAACCAAACAAATTTATAAAATAATTCGTAACGTATACCTACACAATAACACTATGCCTTCCCTACAAAAAAAGCTTCCTAACTTTACTCCAAAATTCACAAAAATTCTAGAATTTTTACACAAGTAAGCTAACACCTTCCAGAATACTCACACAGAATTTCACAACTCTATCATATCACCAAACAAAATTATAAAATAATTCGTAACGTATACTTTTACTCAGCAGACTTTCCCCTTTCCCCTACCTTCCCCAACTTCTCCCCTTCCAAAAAAACTTCTCTTTACCCCCCAAACTAATAAAATATAATTTTATACACAAAAAAATTTCCTTGCGCAAAATGCTCCTTTTTAAATACCAAAAAAAAACTTTTTCTTTTTCTCTCTGTTGGAAGGCTGGTTATTTTACGTGTTTTATGAGCGACACAAAAATATTCTCTCAACTTTTTTATTTCACAAAATATAACCTTTGGTTTTTGGGAAGACGAAAAAAAACCCTAAAAAAGTAACGCAAAACTAATAAAATTTTTAATAGCAAGCAAATTTTTGTTAATTGTAAAATAATAAATTAAAAAAAAAGAAGGTAATAAACCCAATTTTAATGTTGGGATCAAATGTCACTTAAATTTTTTAAGGTAATTTGGTAATTCGTTTTTCAATCCCAAATTTGAAAAAAAACACGAAAATTAATTAAGAAATAAATTTAAATCACAAAATTTTTAATGTTGGGACCAAATGTCCAAATGGGATAAAATGTCATTTATAAAAAAAATCCATCAAATTATCTAAAAACTTATAAAAAATCAAGAAACACAAAAGATAAAGTTCAATTAAATCAAAGAAAAAATAAACTTTAAATGAAATTTTCAAAATTTGGGATAAAATGTCTCAACGGGACCAAATGTCTTATTGGGATAAAATGTCCTCTCAACTAAAAAACCCCTCATCTTGTTGAAAATTTTTGAAAAAAACTTGTTTAAAAACACGAAAACTATAAAATAAAACAAAGAAAAAAATAAATTAAAGAAAATTTTCTAAGAAATGGGACCAAATGTCTCAATGGGATAAAATGTCATTTTTACCAAAAAATAAAAAAAATTTAAAAAAATTTCCACCCACCACAGACTGCGGATTTTCATATTTAACAGTTTGAGGGCACCCATTTGCAGATTGTTGTTTATTAGTTGCTGAATGTTCTCCAATTTGTAATAAAATATTTCCCCCACTAGTCGTTAAAGTTTTGGTGTCTGTTGGAGGTTGTTGTCCATTTGAATAATTTAAAAAATTTGGGGTTGTCCAATTATTTAATTGTTGATTAAATGAGGGTTCTGGTGGATGGTCAAAACAACTTGGAGTTCCTAATAAATGATACAATAAATGTTGGGGATGTTGAAAATTGTTTGGGGGCTGTTGTTGTTGTTGGGGATGTTGTTGGGGGTTGTTGTCCATTGAATTAAATTAGGGAAAATTTTTTGTTAATTTTTCTAAATTTTAAAGATTAAATAAATCAAAAATTAATTAAAATTATTTTTAAGACGAGAAGAAAAAAAATAAATTTAATTTAGTAGAAAAAATTTTTTTTGGGATAAAATGTCATTTTTACAAAAATAAAAAAATTGTAAAAACTTCCTCACAAAAAACAAATTTAATAAACTTAAAAACCTATACATACATAGTTCGAAAAAATAGAGCAGGAAATGAAACGATTTTTCGTATGGATCATCAAAATAAAATTACATATGGATACCTAGATTAATGAGAATAAAATAAACAATGAGACATCAAAATAAACACAATGCCAAATTTTTTTTTTTATAAAATTAAGAAAACAAAAAGACAAAAAATATCTTCAAAAGCTAAAAATAGCTTCAAAATATAGCTTCCTAAATAGCTTCCAAGACCTATAAAAGTACAAATGAAGGGATACAAGCGAAAGAGACGAGCGCGCAAAGAGAGGGATGTCTAACGGAAAATTTTCTAAAAAAAAATAAAAGAGAGGTACTGTCTGATATTTGATTAAAATAAAAACAGCTTCAAGATTCTTTAAGAAATTTCAAAAAATTAAAAAAAAATTTTTCCCCTCAAAAAATTCAAGATTTGAGCCTTCTTAAATAAATCACCCCCTAAAAACCCCTCCTCCCCATTTTCAACATGCCTTTCCATCAATTTAATTCCCCCCACAAATCAAAAAATATCATCATCATTATTCTTCTCCCTCCATACATTTTGATGAATTACAAGAACAATGATAAATTAAAAAAATATTTTTTTTTGGAAAATAAATAAAAGTATTTCATCAATCAAATACACCCCGAGGAAATTGATGAGATTTTGAATGATTTAATTAAATAAATATTTTGACTAAATAATTAATCATACATATTAAATGTTGCATAAATAAGGGAAAATAAATTTAAGAAAGAAAAAAATAAGAAAAAATAAATTTTTCCAAAAATTGGGATAAAATGTCTTGGTGGGATAAAATGTCTTGATGGGATAAAATGTCATTTTTCGAAAAATTTTTTTAAAAACTTGAAAAAATAAAAAAGCCGGCTAGGTTAGGATTTTTAATCTTTAACAGGTCTAAAGAATAAAAAAAATATTAATAAACATAATGCCAAGGAAATTAAAAAAAGTTTCAAAAAATTTCCAAGAATGGGATAAAATGTCATTTTTTGAAAAAAATCCAAAAATCAAAAAAAAAACTTTAAAAACAGACAATACTGTGAATTTTCAATTTAAGCAGGTCAAAAAAATAATTAAATTAATAAACATAACGCCAAGAAAATTTAAAAAATTCCAAAAAATCCAAAAAAGACGCAAAATGGTAAAATAACCAAAAAAAAATATTTTAGAAAAATAAGCAACAAATTTTGACGTTTATTTCTACAATTTTGAAGAGCTTTAACTCTAAATGAGTGCCGCTGCTATACTTTTATGATTGGTTTGTGGTTGAGGGAAAAGGAAAAATCAGAAAAAAAAATGAGAAGGTAGGCGGGTAAATACCCGTTCCAATTGATCACCACTGAAGTTTTGAAAAGTCTAGTGGTGATCAAATGGGTGGGGTTTAATAAATGCCGCAATTGAGACAATAAAAGAGAAAAAATTTTAAAAAATAAAGAGGGGAAAGGTTAAGGAACGTTAAACAAAATGAGCTTATTCAGAATGAATTTGGTTGGAAAAAGGAAGAGAAGAAAGGTAATGAATGGAAAGGATTAGAAATGGCATAAATATTGGGCATTGAAAGAGGTTTTGGAAGGAGATGAAAGAAGGGAAGAAAAAAATATTTTTTTGAAGAGAAGGAAGTGTTAAACAGATGGAGATGGGGCAGGTTAGAAGAAAAAAAAATTTTTAAATTAAACAAGTTGGGGACGTACCTGGAGATGAACCATGTAATTTTAAAGGTGGTGAACTTGCTGAACTTGGTTAAGGGTAAATAAAAACAGATGGAGATGGGGCAGGAAGGAAGAAAAAAAATATTTTTTTTTAATTAAACATGTTGGGGACGTACCTGGAGATGAACCAAGTAAACTAATTTTGGAGGAGGTGAACTTGTTAAACCTGGTTAAGGGTAAATAAAACAGATGGAGATGGGGCAGGAAAGAGGAAAAAATATTTTGTTTAATTAGACAAGTTGGGGACGTACCTAGAGATGAACCATGTAATTTTGGAGGGGGTGAACTTGCTGAACTTGAACATTTATTTTTTGAGGAGAAGGGTATGTTTAAATGTTTTTTACCAGAAAAAAATATTTTATGGACCCAGTAATTCAAAAAAGATTTATTTTTTCTTCCATGGAGAAGGCAAAATACAGGCGCCAAGTACAAAAACAAAGAAAATATAAATGATGGGCAAGCAAAAATAAATAGAAAAAATAATTTAAATATTGACCCTCCACAACTGTCTTAGTTGGAGAGGCAAAATATTTTAAAATATACGTTAAGGGTTGCGTGAGGGAAATTTTTTGGTGTAAAATTGGGAGAGACGAAAAATTAAAAAAATTTTTTTGGGGGGAAATTAAAAGGTATATGTAGGGGCTTTATCAGGTTGAGGAGGATGTAAGCTTGAAGGTAAAAATAAACGAGTGAAATTAAAACGGAAATTAAATCAGAAGAAAATTAATATGTATTTTTGGAGGTTTGTAAAATGATAAAGAAATAAGGAAAATAAATGTTAGAGAAAAAAAGAGAAAAAAAATATTTACATTATGCCAAACAAATTACAAAATGCCAATTTTTATTCAAAAATAAATATTTAAAAATATAAGGGTCTATTTAGAAGGACTGCCTCTTTATTTAAAGAAATAATTACAGCCCACTCTCAAAACTCGAAACTTCGAAAAAAATGTCGCGAAATTCGAAATTTCGAGAAAATTTCGAAATTTCTCTCGAAGTTCGAAATTTCGAGAAAATTTCGTTAAGGGTCTATTTAAAAGAAGGGTCTATTTTTTATTTAAAGAAAGAATCACAGCCCAAGCTCAAACCTCGAAACTTTAAAAAAATTTCGCGAAATTTCGACATTTTTCTCGAAATCCGAAATTTCGCGAAATTTCTTGAAATTTCGAGAAATTTTCGAAATTAGCTATTTTTGCGTATAAATTTCGTATTTTTATTAATTTCGTAAAATTTGTAAACCTCAAAAATTTTCCCGGTTTCTATAACTATTGGCACAAGGAAGGGATTAACCCTTAATATCAACATCAGTCCCCTTCCCCTCCCCAAATTTTTACACTAAATATCTTTCCCCATCACTTTATTTTTTCAAAGCTTTCCACCCCTTTTATACAGTAATGCCACTAGGTCCAAATTTTCTTTTTTTCCTCATTTTCTTCATTTTCTCGAATTTACCCCTTCCATTTATTTTTGCTTTTCTTTTATTCTTTCCCCTTCACCGTTCAATCCTCCCTCATCCCCCCTCCCCTCCCTCCCTCCCTTCACAATTGTCAAGGTTCTCGACAACTGTGCCTTTCCCCCTCATTTTCCCTTTTTTCTTCATTTTCCTCCTTTTCAGCCTCCATTTTACACCAATCTCACATTCCTCATCTCAGAATCGTTTCTATCTGTTTAAATGAAATCCCCAAGGGAAGGCAAAAATAGGATTGGCCAAAAATGAAAATTCTAAAAGAAAATTGGGGGGTTTTGGTAAAATTAAAAAAATTCTTTTTTAATTTTTAATATTCTCTCCTTTATTTTGATTGCTAAAAAATTCCTAAATTTAAGGAAAAAAAATTTTTTTAATAAAATATTTATTTTTTTTCTTCAAGAATATTGGGGTAGTCGGTAGGGAACAAAGGAAAAAATTAAAAAAAATTTTTTTACACAAAAATTTAAATAAATTACTCAATCTACATTGGTTGTAATAACTAGAAAATATATTTGTGGATTTAGAAAAAAATATAAAAAAAAGTTTAAGGAAAAATGTTGTGGATGGCACTCTGTTGAAGCGCCTCTGGCCGGGCAAAACTGGTGTAAAAAATAATTTTTTTGGAGGAAAAAAGGGGAAAATAAAATAAAAAATAATAAAAAGAAGGTAAATAGGATTAAAAATAGATGGTCATTCTTCGAGAAAAAATCAGGAAAAAAATTTTTCCGGAAAAATACAACTTGGGGATATGTTGTAGTCGATGACCAGTCGGCTTTAAAATCAAATAACTTTGGGTTAAATAAAGATAAAAATTTGGACTTTATATCTAAAGATAGAGCAGACTTTTAGATACAAAATGAATACAAAATTAAATTTTTGAATCATTCGGATTGATGAGATAAAGGCAAAAGACTTGCTACACCTCCAAAATATGAGCAAAATTGATTTTAAAAATTTTCAACTTTTTACAACTTAAGGCTGTATTTTTGAGTTGAATATAATATTATAGCTTGGAATCAGATATGTATCGATAGTAAAAAATAAAATTTATAGGACGATAAAAAAGAATTTTTGTGGAAGGTTGACTAACTCGACACATGTACTCGGTCTGGAGAAAATAAAATTTTGAAAACTCGACCCGACCCCGATCCGACTTTTTGGTCATTTTGGCCAACATGGTCCATTTCTGAACGCCAAATAAAAATCTAGAGAAATCAAGAAGACCAAGAGAATCAAGAGAAATCAAGAGAACCAAGAGAATCAAGAAAAATCAGAGGAATCAAGAGATAAGATAATTAACTATAAAAAATTATTAAAATAAAAGAAGGTCATAATAAATAGTAAAATTAGGCAATAAATAAAATATTAAATTAATAAAGAAAATTTATTAAAAAATAAATCTCTACTAAATATAATCATAAATATGTGCCCAATTATTATTATGCGAGGAGAGAGGAGTCGACTATTAAAGTAAAAGTTACTTAATTTTTCTGATCAGTTGGGTAGATTAGAAAAAAATAATAATTATTGAGAGAGGATATATCTAGATGTTTAATTTCTTATTTTAAATTATTTTTTTGAATATTCTCTTAGAAAAAAGCAAAAAAAGTTTTTTTTTTCGAGGAGTTGCGCAGAGCTCCTCTCTTTTCTCTTAGGATATTCCTTTGGGAACAAGAGAGAAATTATCGAAAAAAAATATAAAAATGAAGAGATGGGACCCTAATCTGATCTAATATTCTGATTTTTTTAAATATTTTACTAATGAGCAAAAATAAAAAAATAAATTATGAACATGTGGGGGATTTGGCAAAATTAAATTTTGGGTGAAAAAAAATTTGTAGCTCAGAGTTCAGACTTATTATGAAGAGGAGGGAGTTTCCTGTGGAATATTTCAGTTAATATAATCACAAGGAAATTTAGTGAATTGAGTTAGTTTGACACCTTAAGGAACCCTTTGAGATTCAAACACTAGGGGAGGTGCCAAAAAATTGTAGCTGACAGAAGTCAAGTTTAATTTAAAAAAATAATGTTAATAAAAATAAAAATTAAAAAAAATTTTTTTTTAAATAAATAACGGGTTTTTTGGTAGCTATAAGGTAGAAGGATGAGTAAAAAGATTGGAAAGAAAAAATGAGGGAAAAGAAAATAGGAGGGAGAAAGGGAAGAGGTTTGTTTTGAAGGATTAAATATTTTTTTATCTGGTAGCCAAATCTCTAATAGAAGAAAATCTAGGAAATCTGTGAAAAATCTTTTGGGAGGAGAAAGGGGTTGGGGATGGGAAAAAGTTGAAAAAGTTATGATAATTGGTAGTGTATTGTGGGGAGGTTATTTATTTATAGTAATTAATTGTAAAAAGAATTGTAATTTTAAATCAAGTTGGAATTAATAATTGTAATTCTACCTTAATTATAATTCAAAACTTGCATTACAACTTAATTGTAATTGTAAAGTTGAAAGCTTATTTTAAGCTAGAACTTAATTTCCAACCTAATTTACAATTGTAAACTTAATTTAAAACTTGATTATAATTTCCAACTTAATTTACAATTGTAAAAATAATTGTAAATTACAACTTATTTTGCAACCTTAATTGTAATTTTAATCAAGTTGGAATTAATAATTGTAATTTTACTCTTAATTATAATTTAAAACTTGTTTTACAATTGTAAACTTAAATTAAAACTTGATTATAATTTCCAACTTAATTTACAATTTTATTTGCAGTTGTAAACCTAATTGTAAATTACAACTTATTTTGCAACTTTAATTGTAATTTTAAGTTGTAATTCAAACTTTACAACTTTAATTGCAATTACAACTTATTTAAAACTTAATTACAATTTTTTGATTACAACAACTTATTTCCAACTTGATTATAATTTACAACCTAATTTCCAACTTAATTTACAATTGTAAACCTAATTTATAATTTCCTATTTAATTTGTAACTTTTTTTAAGTCCACAAATAAATTTTACAAATAAGGAGTACTAAACTTGTATCAATCTTAAAATTATGGGTTCTTAAAAACTTAAGTTTTCCTTACCATTGTTACCCCCAGGACTCGACACTCGATACTTCCCCTTCCATCAAGTCCCGACCCCGACCATATTTCCCATATATGTTTATATTTATTTTATAATTATTCTTTCCCAGCTTATCCTCCCTCTAAATCTATATTTTCACACTTTTTGTTCATCCTCTTCCGTTCCCAACACATTCACTCTATCAACTTCAACACATTCACTCTTTCCAACACATTCACTCTATCAACTTTAATATATCCCACCCACTTTCCCGTCTATTTAACCACTTAATTATATCTCATCTTCAGTTCAATTTATTATTCAATCCCAATATTAATGTCCATTTTATTGCCCCCATCAATTAATCCCTTATTAAAAACACTACCCATTTAATTGTATTTTAAATGGAAATAAATATTATGAATTAGTCTTTAATTATTCGTTTAGTCCTCTGCGCCTCACCATCCCAAATCTCCCCCATACACATTCGGCGCTCTGAAGGTGCCTGGACCGGGAGGGTCCAGCGCATAACTGGTAGCACCGAATGGTTCCCGTTTCCCCCTCAGGTTTTGGTTCCCCTCACAGTCCACCTTTTCTTTCATCAACATTCTCGATCCCCTTCCAAAGTTTAGTTCCCCTCCGGTTTTTGTTCCCTTCCCAATCAAATTTTTCTTTTACCCTATACCTCGTTCCCCTCCCCAAAATTTCAAGTTGTCCCTCCGGTCATAGTTGTCCTCCCATTTAACCACATCTTTATTTTTATTTTACTTTTTGTTTTCTCCCACTCTCTTCTCCCCTATTACAAACAAAACACTGATTCATCCTATCAGAGTGAACTACAAATTTATTCCAATTCCCATTCCCGGCACTTTCCCAAGCCAAACATTACAAAAACATTGGCGTTATAAAAAACACCAATGCTTTTACTTTCCTATTCCCCTACACCCATCTAAAAGACATTTTTCCTTCCTTTCATTGTCCCATAAGTTAATACTAATTTTTGATTTCCGCCATTTCCTCTTCCATTTAATATTTTTTAATCCCATTCCCTCCTCTTTCCCACCTGAAAATAAAAACAATTCTTCATCCTATCAGGAGGAAATTTTTTAATAATTAAATTTTTTACAATATATACAATTAGCATTTTTCCAATAAATCCAATCATATGTCACTTTCCCAGTAAAACATAAAAAACATTAGCGGTATAAAAAACACTAATGCTTTGTCTTCGCCAAACCTATCTATGAGAGTATTTTTCTTTACATTATTTTTACACCCTCTATTTCCCACTCTAACATTGGCGTTGTAAAAACACCAATGTTTAGTTTTTTTCCCTTCTTTGCCTTATTTCCGCTGATTTTCTGCTTGTATTCGATATATTAATTTTCCTTCTCTTTTCCTTTAAAAATTTAACCAAATATTTATCCTATTAGGATAAATAATTCATTAAAATTTAATTTACAATAAATAGAGTGTCCCATACCTTAATTTTCAAAAATAATTTCAAAATTCCTTTACTTTATTTTGCACTCCAACATTGGCGTTGAAAAACACCAATGGACCAGTAACTTTCCCTTTGTTCCAATTTCTCTCTGGTGTTGGTCCCCTCCCATTAAACCAAATTATTTATTTTTCTCCCAAACTCTTCTCCCCTAAAAACACTAATTCATCCCTATTAGGATGGACTTTTTACACACTCACCTTATTTTTTTCATCTCCCCTTATTTCAAAATGTTAAAATTGAATTAATATTTTTCAATAAATTCCTTTCACAATGCCCCATTTTTGCAAATCCAAACCTTCCAGTATTGGCGTTAAAGAAAAACACCAATGCTTTCTCTTCTTCATTGTCCTATTAGTCAGACAAAAAATTAAACGCCAACCTTCCCAACTCAATCAATTTCTCTATTTCCCATTCCCTTTCCCAAAATTTTCTCCCTTTCGGATATAGCTCACCTCCCATTTGACCAAATTTCACTTTATCAGTATTCCCCGTTTTCGCCCGATGATTTGACTTCTCTTTCTCGTCCAGCTCTTTCATTTTCCCACTTCCCTTTCGATTTGATAAATTTTTAACTCTTATTCCCAACTCTTTCCCAACAAAAAATAAAAACACATCTTCATCCTACATATTAGGATGAATTATTTTCTTAGTGTCCATGCTTCAATTTCCAACAATAATT